AGTCGGGTCTTTTACACCCAAGAATTTTCATGACTCAATTCCAGAGTCGTAAACACAAGTTTTGAATACTTACCACGTATGTTGACGGCTAAAATCGAAACATACATAGGCCCGATTCCGAAAATTCAAATTTCCGCGTGTGTTTCATTTTTCAGAGCAAACTAGCAAATAGTTTTTTTTTTTTCTTTTCGCATTAAATTCTCTGGGAATTTCTTTTACACAATGAAAAATCTTCAAAGAATAGTTCCGATTGATATCTCTGTGTGGACAAGGCCTTCCATTTGTATGGAATGAACGAAGAAAGTATGAAAGAACAAACATAATTATGTGGTTTAATCATTTTAACTTCCGCCGCCGCGCGCCGCGCTGTGTTTGACGCAATGCGTGAAGTATTCATGCAGTCTCGTAGGCGCTATGCGTTTCTCGCCGACCGCTGCTGACCGCACTGTGTTTGACGCAAAGCGTGAAGTATTCGTGCAGTCTTGCAGGCACTAATACGCATTACATGCTGATCGCCGCGCCGAGGGCTTCTCTTTTTCATCCTAAGTCCTCGTCATCATTGCTCTCTGCGCCGCGCCTTTCCAGGCGAAATTGCGTGTTTGGTTTCTCTTTTTAACTCGACTAATTAAAGGTGCTGTCTCTTGTATCACCGAAAGACGACAAACTTAGTAATTACTATACTCTCAGGAAATGAGAGATTTTGCCGCCTTTTCTCGTTCGTAATTTTTTTTTCTGAATCTGCTTTTGCGGCGTGAACTCGCAATCCTTCTTCATGCTACCAGTGAGGTCATGAGGTGTCGCTCAGATTCGGGAGAAAAGTTAAAAAACCAAGCCCGATCACGTCTCTCCTATCTTCAAATGCGTTGCTCGCGTAGCCCTTGAAGCACCACTGTGAGTAAGACAAACGGAACCAACGCGAGATAGAAACTGAGCAGGGGAAATGACGCCCGTGGATGACGGCGCAGAGATACAACTATTCGAGCTTGATGGATGTCCGTGTTGCATCTGCAAAATTGAAGGCGTTTTAACGCGAGGCGTGAACTAGCAATGCTTCGCTCTATGCTGCTAATATGGTGTCGCGTAGCTCAGATTGGGGAAACAAGTCAGGAAACGAGGCCAGATTACGTTCCTTATTCGGCTTCGACTTTTTTCTTTTGTTTCCGATTTGGCGTCTAATTATTTTATCTAAACCTCGCATATGTGCCGGCCCCATACAATACTTACAACCCGTGGGGAACGTGTTTTTAGCAAGCCTCGGCTAGGAGTCAATTTGACCCGGCTTGGGCATTCAAAGGTTAAGCGCAGTGGCGAGGCGCGAATGATCGATAATCGATTATTCCCCATTTGAATTTATAGTAAAATATCGATTATTAAGGTGTTCGTTGTCAACACTCTCTTTATCCATCCATTTCCATAGGTTTAAATGACAGGTAAATCGATATATCGCCAAGCGCGCCATGCCACTGGTTAAGCGCCATTGTGCTATTTCCCACGAGGTAAGAGTAGAAAAAATAGCATCTGTCTTGCGAGAGGCTACTCAGGTCCAACTTTGACCGTTGCGCGATGCTTTTCCGACCTTTTAACTTCATTTCGCTCACTGGCCAAGTGGCCACGAGCTCCATCTTCCGGTTGCGGCGCCTTCAATTCTGTTGCATACAGCTTTCTATACACATACCACATATCGGCAATGGTCCTCAGGTGTTCGTCAGTTAAAGAACAAGAAAGGTGTCGTCATCAGGCAAGCATACGAGAAATTGCATACGGAAAATTGATGGAGGAAAATGATGTAAGAAAGAGCGGGAGAGGCTTTATTTTCGTAGAACAACCGCAGAGACTTTTAAAAACACTTTTTCCAACTTAAAAATCATCGACTGTTAAATTAGGACTTAAGAAAAGCCGTGATAAAATTGTTTCATAGTTCGAGTCATAGAAAACCTTTCTCTTTCCCCTGGTGAAAATTGGCGATGCGAGCTGCGTTTCAAAATAGAACCATAGGAGTTCTTATAGCCGACTAAAGAAGGCTATTGAAAATCATATAGCTGGCTGTAGAAAGCAAATCATATGGCCGGGCTATACGAAGCTGTGAAAAAGTATACAATCGGGCTATATAGTTCCTATCGCCGGGCTTTACACTTTATCGCCATTGGCTATAGGCTATAAGAAAATGTGTAGAAATTCGTGTGCTTTGGAAATCATTAAGTTTGATACGGAACCACCATAATATTCACAAAACACACATTATATTTTCTTTTAATACATATTGTTTTTTCATAAATTAAAATGAGATGGTCCATACAGAGTGTGCAAACATTTCAAAATCATGAGTTGAAAAACGCTGATTCCGCGAGATCAAATATTAGAGCCTAACACAAAGCGGAGCGGCGACGCATTGGCGCCTACAAACCTAACAAGGATACTGCACGCATTGCGCGGCGACGCACTGGCGCCTACAAACCTAACAGGGATACTTCACGCATTGCGCAATGCGTGAAGTATCCCTGTTGGGTTTGTAGGCGCCAATGCGCTTCGCGCTCTCTGCCCGCCCGCCGCGCCGCAGCGTGCCACGGCGTCTGAAGCAACTATTTCACACCAGAGGTATTGCACAGTATCATAAGAAATTGAAGACGCTCCAACATATTAAGAATGACAGGCATCCTTCAAAAGTAGGTACGGAGCTTTCCTCGCAAAATAAATCAAGATACTACGGCACAAAAAGAGAGCGGTAGTCCAAAAACTAACTAGGTAAGTCCTAGTATCCGTATTTAGTAACGTTTAGCATGAACTTTATCGTCTGGCTGTTGCTTAATCGCCATCGGCTATAAAAGGCTATAAGAAATTGTACAGCCGGCTACAGAAGCTATTGGAAATCTTACAGCCGGCTTTAGCTCTATAGTATTTTGGAACACACATTCTACTGCCAATTTTTACCAGGGTCCCGTTCTTTGAACTACCTACAATATGGTGAAATGTGGGTGCGTTAAAAAAGTCGGCATCAAATTAATGTTTTATTCAAAAAATCATGGAGTATGTCCGGGAACTAGATGGTCTAGGCGCAGGGTCCGCCCTCACAGCTAGGCAATAGGGGTCACCCCCCCCCCCTCCACCCACCATCACCGGGCTGAGTAATTTGAAGCTCATTGCTTCCTGGAGGCACCTAAATGTTTCCTTCGTTGTGATTTTTGCTGATACTCACTGTAAACTTTCGATCCCTGGCAGTTAATTTAGACTTTTAATTTTTTGATTTTACAGTTTTTCTCCCTGATAAACGCATATTTATTTGAATTGTACCGAATGATTTTCTTTCTTTTCTGGATGCAAAATATTTCCGGCGATTCCGTGGATCGCGGGTGAACGGCCACTCCAGCAGGCGCAGTATAGGCAATTTGCGTATCGGAGCGTAAGTGTAATGAAGTATTGTTTGAAGTATACCTACGGTGTTGAAGGGGCTTTATACGGTGCGAGCGGGCGCGCCTAATATTGCCCGCGATAATTCAAAATACGGCGTCAGCTTTCCAGATCGCTTTTCTTTCTGCTGAAAGCCCTGCAAGTGCTTTGATTCCAATGAAAATGTAGGAATAAACAAGGTAGAGAAATGATAATGGGTCCACACCATTTCGCAGGGAAGACAATGCTAAAATAAGTTCCAAAAATGTATCAATTGGAGTCAAAATGTTCTTTGGGACTTGTTGATTTTGTTTTCCCTGCAAAATGATGACCCAGCACAATTTCTCCACCTTGTTACCTATAGTTCGTGCCATTTCTCAGTTTTTTTTTGCTCGTTTGTAGGAATAAACTGGAGCAGTTGCGTTAATATTTTGTGAATATTATCTAGACTGCATTTATTTTGGTAATTTCGATTAGGTATTTAATATTCACCTATCTACTTTTAGCAAGGTTTACATACAGTAAGATGAAACTCATACTTAAAAAATTAAATAAGAAACAACTCCTGCACACCTTTAAGACTATGGAATAGTGACACATTCTTGGTCTTCTCAAATGGCATCATGATTAGGTGGAAAGTAACAAAACTTATAACTTTACCAGTAGCCACTTACATAACGAGACTCAAGGTTGTATCTCGATAAAATTAGGGTGCTGAATGCGAGAAGCGGTGTGTTAGAATCTCCAAATTTGTGTATTGGAGAAGAACTTAATGGGAGACATTCCCAATATTTTGACCAGCAATTTACTTTTTTCAAAGAATGATGACTGATCATCGTTACTGCACAACATTTCGAATGGTTTGTTCGTACCTAATCTAAAAATAATCTTGAACATTTTTTCCACGAAAATATCAAATATCTCTTCTTGAAAGGAATAGAGAACGTTATGACACACTGTGATCAAAATGCAAGTATAAATAGATGGTTTAACATGGTGACAGTTAAAAATTTTGAAACCTTCTTATTACCAAAATAATTTTATAGTCGAAGCTTGCTCTTGTCAAGTGATAAAAGATGGAAAAATGAAATTTTGATTAAAATTTTAGATGTGTGGTGGGACTTAGACCCTCAAATAACCACTGTAGACATGGTAAAAACAAAATAGGTATTAAACAAGTATCCAGTAATTAGGTTCTAAAATCGACATCTGTTATTATGTTATACAGGAGAGTCTAGATTATCATGATTAATGGGAGCCTAATTAGGTGTGGAAAAACTAGTTTTACTAGAAGCGAAAAATTAGAAACTAACACCCAAAACCAATGATTTTCTGCACATAGGGGCATGCAAATTTATACCGGTTTTGGAAGCGCTTTGAGTCAGATTCTTTGATGATTAGATGACCTTTGTGCCATCAAATGGTTGTCTAGTAGAGATGATGCTTGCGATTTTCGCCACCTGCACCAGTCAAATATGTACAGATTATCAAGACTCAAATGTACCTACTTTCCACTATGATTTTGTCATGAGCTGATCATTTTTGGACTTTTGGGAAACATTTGCTTCCGAGTCTGTAGGAGCTCCGCATGAATGACTGACAGAACAAAAAAGTGATTTCTTTTAAAAATGAGATGACTATATTACAGAAGGTAAGCCACCATTAACAGATAAATTTACAAGATGATTCTTAAAACTATACAAAAAGATGAAACTGTACAAAAAAGTAGAGCATTAGCAACCAAGCGAATCTTGCTCTCCTTTGTTCTTGCGTACAATCTATTAAAACAGATCACGCTCAAGATTAGAATTCTTTCCGAAGTTAGGATCTTCTGGCCGCCATTTGCACCCTGCTTTCCTGTTGTTCAGATAAAATTTGTATTGATCGTCAATAGTCATGAATCGTTTGATTTTCGCTCTGAACTGAGCAGGAGTCCACTGCCATTTGTTCCTATTGTCTCTGGCCATTTTCTGAAATCAAATTCAATTGCTATGATAAGGGTACTTTTTAAAAAGATGTAAAATATAATAATATACTTTGTTGAGAACCTTGATTATGAAGTTGCTCCTTTTTCTTCGAAAAACTACCTGGAAATTTGCTAGGATACTCCTCAACAAATGATCTTTAAACCATCATAGCTTGCACACTTTCAGACCAAATGAGCTCAAAGAAAACTTGTTTTACGGATAATGAAATACTTTTAGAGGCTATACTGGTCCCATTTTGCTGACTTTATTTGTTCGCTTGTCCGAGAACCGGTTGAATTGCTTTTGGGACAACTTTGCTTGATCCTGATCAGGCTGTTCTACTTTGCTATCAGAAAGGATAAGCAAAATTTTAAGTTTTGCCGGGAAAGAGTGCATGTGTACCCATTCTTTTAATTCATTTTCAGAAAGTATAGACTGAACTAAGCCTAAATAACAAAGAAATCCTGTTTTGAAAGATAGAAATGGGACCCGTTTGAAACTATATTTTTAATATCTTCCGGCAAGAGTAAACAATGGCTATACATTTAAAAATTTGCACTTGTTAAGTAGGTATGTAGCCAAAGGGCTAAAAAAATGTGCAAGTGTTTAAGTACTTACATAAAAAGGTTTTATTGATATAGTTTTTCGTCAAAGCTTTTCGGCATGATTACCATCGTCAGGACCTTTTTATTGAGAAAACAAACTTTGAATACATTTGTTTAGCACTTGAGCTACATACCTACCTAACAAGTTCAATTAAGTGCTATTACCAATATGTTACAAATTAACAATTTAAAATTTTGTATTGCAAAGGACATAAGAGTTGTTTAAGAGACTTCAGATAGATTCCATCACTTTGATAACATCAGGTATTTGTTTTACATTAAGCTCCTAAAAATTCAAAAAGTAAAGAGAGGAGCAAACGGTCACACTAAAAACGAGCTAATTTAAAAAAAGTAGAACTTGAGGCTAAAAATTAGAAAGAAAAGAAAAAAGTGCGCTCACGCACAAGAAACAAGACTTCCTAAGCCATCATAGGCTAAGTTTTGGACTCTAATATACAACAAATTTATTTAAGTTGAAAGACCTTCTCATTCCAACTGATATCATACCTATGGGACCACCCTTGAATCAGGTCACTGCTCAGTTTTAAGGTGATTTGTCCCAGTTTCAGGCCATTTGACATGTTTGAACTGGCATGGGATGCATCACACACCAGTTCAACCACGCCAAACACCGGGCCGAATCATTAAAAACGTTTACTGACGGTGTGAGTCAGCAATCACACAACTCAGTTTGCGACATCGCAGACTTCCTGTCATATTTTATTTTTTAAAAGGAAAACTACTTAATGGCAACTCTTCAGAACTGCCGTGATTTTTTTCTCTGTGCGAAGAAAATTCTACAAACTTCAAGGAATGATGTCAATTTGTTCTCCTTCAAAAAAATAGCAGAGGTGGAGATTTTTAGACACCGCAAACGAGATAAGTGATTGCCGACTTACACCATCGTTATGTTTCCTAGCTCATCTTTAACCGATGTATTTTCTTTCTTTGTCCTGCGATGCGACTGACAATATAGCAAACCAACCTCATAATTGTCACCATATCGAGTCATTAACTGGGCGATGAATCTGACTTCTCCATCAGGCAGTCGAATTTTTCTTTCACGGGGAGCTTTGGCATCTGCTTCAAGAGCCTCAGCTACGTGCTTTTTCTTGGGAATAGGGATCAGTTGTGGAACGCTATCACTGTCTTCCTCCTCTGAATCCTGAAATCAAAGGAAACACTTTCTATAAGGGGCAGCTCTCAATATACAACACGGAAAAAATTAAACGATGACAGCAGAATGGGCACTCTTTGGTTGCAGTTTTTTAGAGTCTTCTCGGACATTTTGTGAATATTCAAAGCAATGAGAAAGGTATAGTTTGACAACACAGTCACAGCAAGTATTTACGCATTTTTTTTTTTTTTTTTTTTTTTTTTTTCCCCCTACACTCTAATACTTTATTTTGATGAAAAAATTCATTCTGTTAGTTTGCACCTCTTAAAATGCTTTACTCAAAAGACCCATTTCCCAGGCATGAGAACTCAAAAAAATATCCTCACCTGAGTACCGAAAGTTGTTTTAACAGCTTTGTTTGGATCAACAGCAAGACCCATGTCTTTGAAGTTTTGGCCAAGCGTCCTGCCTCGAGCCCATGCTTCTTTAATTTCTTCGCTAAAAAATTCAAAAGGAAGAAAATGAGTGGATAGCGTAAAAAGTTGTTAAGATCGCAAATGTTCTTAATGTTGTATACGAAGTAGCCATTTGCAAATTGTAATAAAAGCCAATCCTCAAAGTTTAAACTGAATCTAGCTCACTCAATGTATGCTCCAAAGTTCCAGTATTTTTTGCATCACCTCTCATCAATGGTGCTGTCTGATAGCATGCATTTACCTCTTAGCACCTCAATAGACGATCAAATTTTAAACTAATTCCGATCAATTTACATTATTAGATTATTGTTGGTCACCACCATGCAGAATTCTTCTTTTATCCAAATGGCGTGCTACCATTCATCATTATTTGCCGTACAAAATATTTCTACCAAGTTTGCATTTGAAAGTACTGCAAAGTAACGATTCAAGGCCTTGTGACTCCTGACACACTTCCTCTTATTTTGATGGCTAGTTCATTGTCTATCAATGCCTGTACGATGAGCGAGCTCTAGAATTGACTGCTTAAGGTGAACAGTGACCACGACTGAGGACTCTAATCAACTTTTTCTTATGCCAAGATGAACGAGTATGGGTGCATTCTTTTTAGAAAACGGAGATAATTTTGGTGAATTACCAATGATGTTACCCACTGTCCAACGAGGCCTAACTTCGGTCACGTGACTTTGTTTACCACTTCAACGCTTGATGCTCCATTCACCAGATGCAAAAGATGCTGGACCATTGCGGTGAGCACTGAACTGCTATGACAGTCACTAGGTAAAAAGCGTTGTTTCAACGGAGGTTTAAAAACGATCATCAAACTTGCAACACCCTCACCGAGTAATTTTGCGTTGAAGCAAGGTTGTCTTCCACGAACGCATCTTACCAATATCAACAAATACTCTACCTGCTAGTGGTTGAATAGCCTATCTGTACCGTAAATTTCTTTCAACATCAGTTTAAAAAATGAGAATAGTGTGAGATAGGTTTGCAATCAAGAGCATTGCTGAAATGAACAAGTGATGTCACTCACCAATCGAACTTAGGAACTTGTTTCGCCCGCAGCTTCTTGTAAATCTTTTTAACATTTTTCACAACACGCCGCTTGTTACGAACATGCTTACGAATTTTCATTTTTAATTACAGTGGACAAAATATTCAAATTTTTATTAAATAAAAAGGCGAACACGTGTGACAGTCAGAACGTCAGAATCGAAAATCAAAACAAATATTAACAACCACAGATCCAAATAAATGACATGAGGACTCCTCGGGAGAAGGTCAGGCGCTCTCAACACATTCTTACTTAGCTGGTACCACCGTCTGTAAAGCGTGTAGCCAAACCTTTCAGGAGCTGAAATTGTTGATGGCCGTCTGTATCCTCGATTTTCCATGTAGCCTCCATCTTTAAATTTGTTTCTGGAAGCTTTCAATTTTCTCGTGTCCAGTTCAGTGTTTAAGCCTAGTTTTTCTCCCAAATTTAAATTTTTTGCGTATTTAACTGGTCCAGCTAAACTATCACTACCACCGGTTGTTGTTTCGTAACCTGTCGCACCCTAATCTTAATCCCTTAGTTCATGTTGTGTCGTTCGTGATCGCGTTCTCATGGCCTAGAAGCCATTTTCTGTTGACGGGCTTTCCCAATACAACCAAATATCCTCTAACAGCTCGGTTTTACGATCGTTGTCCGTTATCTCATTAACTTCTAAAGCAAGTGATTCCTTTAAGTTTCAGAATTGTGTAGCTCACCCTGCTGATCACCATGATGAACGGCGGAGTTGGAGTGGTAAGTTTCTGTTTACCCATGCACTTTTGCCCCTGCATCGTAAGTCAAGATAATTTCCACCTCACACGTGGGGTTCTTCATTGCTCGGCACGTTTTTCAACGTTTTCCTCTCTTATTCAGTCTGCCTCAGTTTTCCGGAAACATTTAGATCGGCTTAGTTACCGAACTCAGCTGTCAAACCAGAATTCAATGACGTCTTTGCCAGGGGTGCAGAAAGAGCTTGATCAGTCGATGGCAAACCAATTGTGGAGCAATTGTGAAGGCACCTGAAAAGGGGTAAAAAAGGGTGATTGTACCTGGAAAGTGGGAAAATTGGGGAGGCAGAAGGTATAATGCTGTTGCTGAGGGCTTAACCTTTAGGGTAGGAGTCAGCGTAGGTAACTCTCTTATGCGAAGGAAATAGTGAAGCCCGCTCTTCTTGGTGAAGAAAGCAGTGAAGCGCATGCGGACACCAATGTGAAGGTAAAGAACGTCCTGCACCCCTGGTCTCTGCTGCCTCCGGACTGAATTTTTATGTGGGCCATTGTTGTCAAGTTAGATCTACTAGGATTTTGTAACTAATTGACAGATTGAGACTCTAATACAATTATTTTATTTTAAATCACCACTCATCTATTACCCGTTGTACCTCTGCAGATTGCAAGTGAGACCAATGGTCATCATCACTACCTAGCGTGACAGAGGTCCTCTCAAGAGGTAAACAATAGTAATTTCTTGTGTTCGATGAGTTTTTTAACTGAAAGAGCAATAATTGTATTGTATTTAATCTATTCGCCTCACACCAAAGGACTTCAGGCCATGTTACCTATATTGTTTATATTAAGACCATTTCAAATCAACTTGTCGAAAATTGCAACCCTTGTAAATTGGTAGCTACTTATGTTGATCATGGCTAGAATGATACAGCTCCTAAGTCGGTCTTTACCTTGTACATACTAGCTATAATTACTGTCACAACCCTTATTTATGGCGTTAGGGTGGGAAAATGCAAGATTCAGTTGGGAATGAAAAATTTCAGAAAAAATTAGGTAATTGGTTCGAAAAATTGAGAATATCTTCTTCTACCGCTTTGAAACCGATTACTCCCTTTCGCTTCTTTTGAATAGCCTCTCGGTAAATTCTTACTACAGTCATTTGCCAGGCATTTATAAAAGATCAATACCTACTGAACTCATTTGTGTGCCAAATCTATTGACTTGTAACACAATCTAGACCGAGCACTAGGTCCGACTTTAGGTGGGGTAGGTAAGACAGCTAGGGGGGTAAATCAGGGTGAAGGCGCACCTTCAGCTTAGTTGATACAGCCGGATATACGAAGTTTGCCAGGCAACGGCACAGGCAAGACTGGCATTTCCATTGTCTCGGCACACATTGCAATCTGGGTTGCCTATCGTCTGGCCGAAATTCCCTAATGCACAGTCTAGATTGTATTACACATTAATGGCAAAATCAGATTGTGGCAAGGAAATTTTTAGTACCTACTCATTGTGTATAAGGATTATGTTATTACACCTGAGTTGCCATTTTTGAGCTCTTGGATGAGTTATTTGAATTTTTTAATCATCAGAATATTATTTAGAGAGTTTTATATTGACACAATCGTATAAAGAACAGGATTGATTTTGAAGTTAAAAATTTGAATGTATGTTGAAGAATCTGCTGAAAAATGAAGAACATTCGACATTCATATCTAGAACTCCTGAGAGCTACATTATTTTTCTCAAAAAAATCTGAGTAAAATGGGTAGGAGAAATCTTTGATTCCTGTGCAGGGAATAGCTCCTGAAAATCAAGGAAAAATCACAAAATGAGAGTGGCCATGAATTCTAGACACCATGTCCTTATTGAAGCCTACTTTTTCCATAATTCTAAATTCTTTACTATATTGATGCCTTTCCATTTCAGCCTCTACCCCCGCAACCACCGATGCAAGCTATGATGCCCCCGGGAGGTGCAGTTCCTTATCCACCCACACAAAATGGAGATGGTCCACCCCCAATGAAACAGGCCAGACTTGAAAACGGTAAGCCATGTTCATTCACTCTGGTATTTTTATAATGTTTAAGTCATTCAGTCTTCGTTTACCTTTTGTTTGCTTAAACATTCAATGCGTCATGTTTTTATCTTGCCAAACTGTAATTTAGTTTTACTCATTCTGTTGAAGGTTGTTGTTAGTTAATTATACTTTGTAAAATTTCTTAAGTCAGGCTGGTAGTTGGTATCCTATTTCCTCTGCCATGTTAAGTAGGGTTTGTAGTTTAATTCTAGAGTCATAAGCACTATGTACCAAATATACACAGTGTGAATCTGGAGACATGTACTTATGCTTGTATCCTTTCAGTCGATATCATCTAGGCTTAAGTCTGTATATGCACTGATTCCATCTACGTAATATTTTTTTTCCTGTTGAAGCTGCACACAGATTGGTGTCTTTTACTCTACCGGAAATAAAAGGTGTCTGTCCCTCTAACAACTGAACAATTTATCAATTTTGAAGTCAAAGAAGACTTGAGGGAAAATTTTATACAGAAAATGCTCTCATATGATTCTAACAAAGAGTGTTTTATTAAAGGGAACTTGCGTTGTCAGTTTGCTATATCGAGTTTGTCTGAAGCCGAATACCTCACTGTTGTTGATTTCCATTCAAAAATTCAGAGTTATCTCCCTCCAATGTTCCAATACATCAAGTTGGCACAGGAAGTTAACATCTGGAAGTCTTAAAAATTCTAACCTTATAGCACACAGATCTTTTGTAATTAATCCTCTGGAAGGCACTTGAATTTTACCCTTCTATTCCTTTTAGTGGTAAATGCTTGTTGTTTAAAAGAAACAAAGCCTATGATGTTAAGTAGATAGTTAAATAAATATCATACCTAGGTACAAAATAATTGTAATTCACCTTCAGAAAAGCACCAAAAATTGCCGGCTTCAACTCGAGAGTTATTTGCAAGAATGAAGGCAGCGTTTCTGCACGGTAGCTTTTTGAAGCTTCCTGTATCGCTTTGAAGAAAGAAAAAAAAATTCTTATTATCAAAAATCAGTGGACCTAGGTACACGGAGAAAAAATTACCTAAAAATTCTTTAAAAGTACAAGATTTTTCATTCTTTGGGCTGCACAAGCCTTGCCTGATTTTTAACATAGCAAGGTCTAAGGTCTTACTTGAGATGTCCAATATTAATTAAGAGAGGGTAGGTTATTTAATTTCCGTGAGAATAGGTTTCTTTTTTTTCAAGTTTAAAGATTCAACAAGACTTGATATGCCCCCAAAATTTTTTCCCAGGCCAGACTTTCTTTTTTTTTCATGCTAGTATCATGATGCTAACTGTGAAATTTGTCTAGTTTCTCAGCTTTGATTGCTCATTTTTACCATGTTTTCTCTTTGCGTGTCAAGCAGGTCAGTAGATAGAAGCAGAACTGAAAGTTTGAGTGCAAAATTGATCAATCACAAAGTTCATTGTTCACTTAAAAATCAATCGCCCCTCTAAACATGATTTTTTTCTTATTTACACCTCGCTGTTGAAAGTATCTCTAGCTCAGTGATCTTCATTTTATGGTAGTCACACATTTTTCGGATTATTTAAGTAATAAATAACTCAACTTCAGTGATACAACTTTAAGTAATTAATAATTCAACTTCAGTGAAGTTAATAATGCTGCTCTGAATCAATTTGGTATCGGAGGTTTAAGGAAGCGTGAAAGTTCTGCCTTATTTCAAGAGTGCGAAGAATATTTTTATCATCTTAAAATTGAATCTTTTATGCAAAGAAAATAGGGAGGTGAGCTGTCTTATTTGGACAGCATTGTGAAGACTGCCTCTGAAAATGAGAAGGGGAAGTAGTCTTGTGGTCAATGACGTTGAGACAAAGAACTTTGTGCACCCTTAGTCTCTATGAACTTTTTCGTAAGTTATCACCTCATGCTAAAGTCTCTGACATACAGTAAGATTTTATGCTGTCTTTGTCTTTTCTTGCGTATACCTTAAGGCAGGAAAATGCAAAATTGACCTGGATGCTTAAACATAAGGCATGAAAAATAGATCCATAACTTTAACCCTCTGCTGACCACCCACCAATAATTTAAAGATGGCTCTAGTATAACAGTGTAGCCAAATTATTAGGCAACTACACATGACGTATAAATTTTATGGAGGAATAAGTCTGTCTGGAGCTCCCTCAATATTTATTTGTAGAAAATCATTCTTGAATTTTTATTCACAAAGCTTTAAATGAAGCTGAAATAACTTTTTAGATTGATGTATATTTTATGGTTTCTTGCACAAAGAAAAAAAAAAAATCTTGTATTCATGGTGTTATACAAGTGCTGTTATTCACACAGCCGCCAAGGTCCATGAAGCGCAAAGTGTACTTGTCTCATCTATGCAAAGCCTCAGAACTCAGTTTATGAAAGAATCTTGGATTTTTAATTTAACTGTCGCATCAAACTGGAAATTTTGTGAGAAACACAATGGACCACTAGTTTTGTTCAAAACCTACTTCTAAAAAGCTCTTAAATTTGGATAGCATTAAACAGAGGAGAACAAATGCAATCACAGTATTTCAAAAGACAATAAAAAGACATTAATATACAAAAACAAATGGGTTTACTAGGCTAAGGAGAAATAAAACAAACTAGGACGTTCGGGCCAATTACATGCCCATTCTCAACTAGAACAAAAGCTAAAAAATGTAAAAATTCAAACAAGAAAATGAGCATGCAACTGACCGAGGTAGGAATCAGTGCAAACTGCTGAAGAAGTTTGCTGGCTGCGGAAGTTCGTACTGATTCCTACCTCTGTCAGTTGCATGCCCATTTTCTTATTTTAATTTTTACATTTTTTAGCTTTTGTTCCAGATGAGAATGGGCAATTGGCCCGAAACGTCCTGGTTTATTTTATTGCTTTTTTATCCTTAGCCTTGTAAACCCATTTGTATTTGTATTTTAATGTCTTTTTATTGTTGTGTGTATTCGGGTTATTGTGTCTCATCTCTCTCCTATCACTATTTCAAAAAGCGCAACTGCATCTTTGCTTTAAAAAAGATTTAACCTAAATTTCTGAAACATAATTGGAGAAGTAGATTGGCTCCCTGTAAAATTAAACTTATTTATCTTAAGAAAATATAAAACCATTGCTACTCTGAGAATTTTTTTTAAGTAAAGATGAAATTGCATAATTTTTACAACACTGTAATCGTGCTGTTCCTCACCTGTAAAATGCAATCCATTAAGGCCCTGGAGGTAGAGCAAGATTGAAGAGTGCACCCTAACACTCAGTTTTTTCAGTGCGAAGGCCGAATGTATGAGCAAATGTCAGACCAGAAACTACCTCTTAATTTTTCTCCTCCGTGATGTATTTACCTCCATGTTTGCATCAAAAATTTGACTGAGCAGGGATATAGAATCTCTCATTTTTACGATGCTCCTTCATTCTTCCTCAACTCCAAGGGTTCTTCTTTTGAGCCTTAGGATTGTTTCCAGACAAAATTAGCAGCACCATCCTGTGGCTCTGTCGAAAGTGTATTAAATTGAAAATCCCTAGTTCTTGCATGAATTTGACCTCTTGCTGATTCTCATGAAAGCCGCCATCTTGTTTTATTTTCCAAGGTGGAGAAATTTTGTAAACTAGATCTACACCTAATGGACTTTGACAGCTCTCAATTGATCCATAGTTTTAGATCCCTCCGCCATCTTTGAAAGCATCACTGCTAAAGGTGTTGCCACAACCAATTCTCTGCGGGGAAAACTACACAAACTAGCTAATTTTAAACAAAACAATTGACTGCATTTGAAGGACAAATTTATTGATCGAGTTTTCGTCTGGTTATGCTTACAGATTTCACTTTCCCAACTATGTTTACTTACATGCAAGACACTTCTCATGGCAAAGGGCCAGCCCTCGTTAAACGGAATTTTCTCTGATTGCTCATATGCCGCCTTTTAACCTTTTGTTTCTTTATTTTTATCTGTGTTTTAGGAGTTGCGGGCCTCTTGCATTTTTTTGCCTTCTCCGGTCATTTATTTATTTTATGTTCACTGCCATCCCACTATTTGCATCTCCTTTTTTTCATTTTTGCAAACTGCATTAAGTATTTCTCATTTTCTGGTGTAGTGCACAACAAGGGGACAGAAAAAATTAAGCAAGCTTATTTTTCGAATGTCCATTCAAATATTTTACCAATTATCTGAACAGAATTTGAATTGACCTTTTATACCTTTACTCCAACTATAAGCAAATTCAATGTAGGCTATGATGTAATCACATTACGACTCTGGGCTTATCATTTTGTTAAGATGGGCAAAAAAGCCTGTTCTGCACCAAACAATCAAAACTTTTCTAACAGCCAGTAAAAAGCATGCCTCCAGGATGTAACATTCAACTTTTTACTAAGAAGTTGAAAAAAAGTAAAATTTAAAGGTCAGTCATCAAAATGTGTTACAAAATCAGTTTCCCTTAGTTCCATCTTTTTGTCTTTTGAAGTGCAAAATAAGTTTTTACAGGGTTGCCACAATCAAGGAATGCCGGGAAAATGACGAAAGTGTAGGGGATAAATTGTTAAGTCGCCTTAATTTGCTTGCTAACAGGTTTGACGTCTAGAGCAACAAATTTTACCAAAAAACTATTTCAAATTATGTCTTTCTAACCATAGCATAATTTAAAGTGTCTGGGAATTTTACCAAAATGTGTCAAGGATTTAAGGGAAATGACGGAGAAATTAATTTTCCAAATTCTGTGGCAACCCTGGTTCTACTTTTCAGTTAAAACTTGACCATGGAAAAAGAGTCCCTTTACAAGAGTTGTTGATTTTAGGCTCATTATACTGATTGGTTCCTTTTGAGACTAAGGCTAAAATGTGCTCTGTTTTCTGTTTTTTGTTTCTCAGGCTGATCATATGGCGGATATCATTCCGACTATGCCCACTTAATCGCGTGCGATGCTGCGTGTTTAATTTATACGACTGAAAAAACAGTTTTCGAGTGATGTGGTTGTTACTAAGCAGTCTTAGAAGCGCCCCTAGAACTGTATAATTTTCCTATCTTCATGTTAAGAGTTCCGTTTTCCCCTCTAAGCCATCTGCTCGTGATATGAAAAGTTATAGTGAGTTTCAATAAATATTGGGAGTGCATGACTCAGATCTCAACTATGGTTCTGGAGAAATTACTCACACCCTAGCATAGGGTGCTGGAAATGAAAATCACAATAAAGGCTTATCCAATATAAATAGACTTTCAAGCAGGCTTATTAAAGTGATACAAGAGGTCTGAAGTGATTCTCTTGTTTTTTCGGTTGCTGAATCCAAATGTGCAATATTTCATGGCAAATCTAGCCTGTGCTTCTCTAAATGTAGCCAGAAAATTGCTAAAACCTATGTTTTTTCCTAATCTTCTTGGCTGGCATTAGAAAACACTAGAAAACTCACTGTTCTCAGAATCAGTAGAAAGTACCTAGCTTTCGGGTGCTTCTTTTTTAATTTTTCTTGCCTTGAACGTCATGATTTAGCACTTAGGAGGAAATATTGGAAAAAATAACTCAATGGAAAGTGCGTCGCTCAAAATATTATCTTTGAAATCAAGATTTTTAAAGTTGCAACAGTATATCACAAGCTCAAGCTGGCATAACTTTCAATGATGGCAATATGGTATCTTTACTGCCTGATCGGTGCAGGAAGCTATCAACAACAGCATGTCTTTTAATGTCTGTGATCATTTTATTTTGTCCAAGGAGGGATAGATAGATTTAACGAGAATCAACCCAACTGCATTTCACATCGTCTGAGTGCCTCTTGATTTTTTTATTCCAATCTAAGTCTGAAATCTACAGAACATATTGCCTTGAAATATTCTGTGAATTTCCGTTGAATAATAAACTGTGAATTCACAAAATTTCAAGTCAGAATGTTACTTTGTTTTCTGTTTTAAGATTAAAACTTGAGACGCAATTAGGAAATGTCCCGTGTATTCAGGCTAAGTCTGGTTAAAGCTGTTGAGTTGTTTCTCAGATTTTCCAACAAATTTATCAACTGCATAATGTAGTTAAATTTCTGGTTTGTAAAGAGTTTCAATACCTAGGGTTTTTTTTCTCTTTCAAAAGTGATCAAAAAACGTATTTAGATCCCAAATCAGTTTTATTGTCACCTGAACATTTTTTTATTTCGACGATGATTTCTTTTTAGTCATTTTTAAGATAAGGCTCTCAGTTTTGAAATTAACTCAATAAGTTTCCAAACATATTTGAGCATCGATGCTCCGGGAGAAATTTAATGTTCATGGACATTTTGGGGCAGTAATTTATCTGTTTTACCTATGTGCATTTTCAAATGGATGTAAGCGAAGACAACTCCGGGGAAGCCAGATTTTACTTGTCCAGCAATGGACCCCACATCATATATTATCTCGATCTCTTAATCTGTAATATTCATTCTGATAGCCTCCTTGTGTTCTCTTCATTTTTTGTGCATTTTACTTTATGACGGTTTATTTTTCCTTTTTTTGGTTGTTGTTTGAAAGTATCGACTGACTCCTGTAATTAAACCGGTTTTCCTCTTCTTTGTTGTTTCATGGTTAAAGAGCGTCACTGCAGGTTTAACGTGTTCTCTCTGGTCAGCATATTGTCGTCAGGCCTCCTACCCATAGCGGTAAAGGTCGATTCTAATTCCACGGCGAATATTATTTTAAGACTAATGGTCAAAAGTGCTATTTTCAAATCCTAAAAAGATCTATCAACTATCTTTTATCACGTGAAAATTGCATTAACAACATTGTGTTAAATGTTACATTACATGTGTCCAAATCAATCTTAAAATATTCTCCCCTGCTGTCTCTTATGATACATTTTTACCAGTCATTGTTGATTTTCATATATTTAGTTAGCAGTTGTAATCAAGTACTTTAGCCAGTTAGAATCCAACCTAACTCAATAAATTGTCATCTTTTTTGTCTTGAGCACTAGCACTATGCTTGAGTTGAGATGAATAGATTGACATAGCAATGAGTTAAGTTGAAAAATTCGTATCTCAGATTGGGATGTGGCAAGTCCTTTGAAGCTTTTTTCTTTGAAAATTAATTTACAACAAAAGTTTTCGGAATTTGGAGGGGCATGAAATGTTTTTCCTCCCAATTATCTCCGGGTCCCAGGCAAAACTCCAATTTTTCAGTACTCGTAAACAATTCATGACAATTATTGACTACTTAAACAAGCCATCAATGTAAATTGATTTTTGAAATGTAACAAGAAAGCTATCCCTTGCAAATTGTTTTGATATTTTGAAAAGGGTAGTGACCATAAAAAAGAGTGCATAATTATTTTTCCTCGTTTGGAAATGCTTGACAGTTTTAATAGTCTTCACTGCCTCAATGTTGACAACTGATTATCACTCAGTGTGGTGTCTTTGGTTCGTTTGAGAAAGCACAAGCCTGAAATAATTGAGCACTCTCAGTAGGTGGTCTGCTTGAACCAGTGTTTGCCTGATATCCACGTCGTCCCTGTTATACATTATATTTCATTTTCATGTGCAGTGATCAGTCAGCTAATAACCTCCCCTCCCTCTCCAGTCTGTCTCAATTACTGATATGCCATAGCCGTAAATCGGGGCGTTAACTTACCGGTTCACTGAGTCCTTGATTCCAGCTGCGCTCATTGTGTGTAAATCTTACTTTGAACAGACCAGTTGATTTCTGGTGAATCGATCAATTTTGTATTTGACGTGAGGAATCTGCTTTAATTTCCAACAATAACCCTCTGATTGAAGGGCATTGGCGTTTTTACTTAAGCACGTATGTTTCATTCAATTAGCACTTTTGATCATCTTTACTTAGGTCTTAGTTTTAAGTACACATGAGTGAAAAAAGTATGAAATCTTCTATTAAAATTATCTATCAGCCTCGTCCATCTCATAAAATGTTTGTCTTCGAATTCCAAAAGCAGTTGACCCATTTCTTTTCTTCCTTTGAACGTTTAGCTCAAATGGGCCATATTTTCAAATTATTAAGTTTACAGTTTCCAAGAGGCCTACTTGTATTGCTCTAAAAATCTTTAGAATTAATGTGGAAGCATTCTCTCTTTACAATGGATGGGCACCCTGCAACGCTTATTGTCTTCGAAATTTCATGAAGATAACAAAGCACACCGCGGGAAGTTTCCAAATCAACTCTTAAACAAGACATTAGTGTTTGCAATGAAAATGAGTTAAATGGGAAAAATACGAACGATGTCATTAGTGTAATCTAACTTCCATTTATTCCGTTTTAAAGTACTCGTTAATATCTCGTTTAGGAGTTAATTCACAAACTTTCCCTTATGTGAACCGTTTTTTTCGTATGATTTTAAAGAGATAGCACGAGAATTTTTTTCTAGCCAAGCCCTTGTTTAGTGGCCCATTCAATTTAACATTTTAGAGTCAGTCCCTAAAAATTATCACTGTTTTGCAATTTTAAGTTCCTGTGGTTGATAAAATTATTGTAATTGCTCCCCCATCTTTCCAATCGTCAGTATGAAGTAAAAACTACTTTTTAGATTACAGAATCAATCCCTTATCAATTTTGAAAACACTTGTATTTCATACGTTTTTCACTCTGTCACTTTTATTCCATAATTTCAATCGCTTTATCTCTCTACCTACTCCTCATCCACTATGTGGAGAAATGTCCTTTCGACTTTTCAAACTCTCTCTTCACTCCAATCATTGTACTTCTCTACACTTTGAATCATCTCTCTTCACAGAAAAAATAATCGGCATAACACATTTTCAATTTGTTTCCATTTAATCTAAAAAAGGGCGTCAGGCCTGAGATATTTTATTTTTTCAAATCAGTTGCTGACACTGAATAAATTACCTTACCCTGGAAATTTTGCTGCCCCTCAAAGTAAAGTGAAATCAGGCTCAAGAACTATTTGTGAAAATCAGCAATTTTCAAGCCAAAGGTAGAGAGAAAAGAGTTGTACTAAATCAGCTTTAAAACAACCCATTTTGTACAATTCATCTCAAATTTTTTGCTCTTTCAAAGAGCAAAATCATTTAAACTTGGAATTTTCGATTACATCAGAATTTGTGTTTCCAAACCAGAAATCTTTGTATTTGTCACCCAATTGGAGAAATATACATTGAGGATGTGTTAGTTGGATGCCATTTCTCTTAAGATATCAAACTGAAAACTAATAGAAGAGCACAGTCTAATCAAATTCTTTTTGCAGGTGTCGCTGCGCCATTCCTTGCAGCTCCAATTTACGATGTCAACCAGACGGGAGCTCTTGTTCCTGGTACGTAGCATTTCTCTATTTTTTTACTACCATTTGTGAACGGTCTTAGGTATAGGGACCTTAGAGCATCTTAAAGCAGGAAAATTATAGATTGTCTACTGTACGAACGCCGTGAGAAAGCATAGTACTCCCTTTCCAATCATTCCAGTCTTCATCTGTTAGTAAAATAAGCTGTTACTGCTTTTACTGAATACACTGTTGCATGAGAAATTTGTCGATCATTCACTCTATTCCACTCAGTTTTCGAAACTTATCTTTGAATTTCAGGAGCCATGTGGCTCATCAAGCTCGATTTTTTAGGGGCCAAATTGACTTTTTGCCCAAATATCACCGCGCATTCAGTGAAAAGATAGAAGCAAGATGTTTTAGTCAGAGAACAAGTAGCTTTAACTTAGGGGAAATTTTAAAAAATCACAAAAAAAATTAGGATTTTTCCGGGGGGGGAGAGGGGGGGGCAATTTTAAGGGGCCTTGTTGGCGCAAAGCCTTCATTTTTTAGGCGCCATGACTGATTTCTTAGACGCGTTGGCACCTGTGAGTTTTGAGCAGTGATTTCACTCTAATGTGACTCATTAGTCACACATCTTTTCACAGCCCTAATCAAAGAAATGGGAAATAATGAAATGAGCCTGGTTTAAGTTAAAATTTAATTTTGATTGGCAGAGAATTTTTTGTCGTTCTCTAAGAACGTAATTGAATCAGATCTTCTGAAATAATAAAATGAAATTTAATTAAATTGTACTTTTTATAATGAAGTTTTTTCGAAGTAATTCCCTCTGATAAACTTTGTTAAGTTTTCACTTCCCTTGATCTAATCAATATTAATTTTTCCAGGTCCTGGCTCTAGATCCGGGTTAATCGGGATTCTGAGTGCGCCACTACCGAAGCTGTCCCATGACCAACAAGACGCAGTGAACAAAGCAAAGAAGTATGCTATGGAGCAGAGTATTAAGATGGTGCTAATGAAACAAACCCTTGCACACCAACAGCAGGTAAACAATCATCGTCCACTTAATTTCACTGCAATTTGCTTTGGTCTTTCATTACTTTTTTAATTAAACAATCAAAATTTTTATAAACAGTAAAAGCTGTTGTTTAAACTTTTGAAAATTTTTAAAAACTCACGCTTTCACTTACGAAGTGTGTGAAAGCGAGAGTTTTTTAAATTTTTCAAAAGCTTGTATTACTTGTGACCAGTAATTCCAATTTCATGTCAAATGCTGATTGTGAGTTGAAAGTCAGGCGTCTTTTTTATCTAATTGATGATTTTCTGAAAATGGCGAGTTTCCAAACTAAATGCCTGAAAGTTATTCCCTTCAGAAAATTATCAACTCTTGAGAATCATGTAGTCTAACCTTTCAAGCTTGTGCTGATACATACTCAAATCCTGTACATTATTTTCTGAGAACCACGTTATCTTCATTTTAATTAGATTTTGTGCTCTACTTACTTGATTGGCCTTGTTGAAAGAAGTTGTCTCTGCGTTATGTATCTCTTTTTTTTCTCAGTTTTAAGGCTAATAATTTTTCAGATTCAGTATTGCCTCGCATGTTAGTATATTCTCAGGTGCAAAGTCTTTACAAGGTTTCTGTATTTTTATTCAAATATATCGAGGACAAAATTAGCAAAAGTTCTTATGAAAAAAAAAAACAGTGAAACTCCCTAACCCAATACCTCTGTTTGTAATATTGTAGACTACTTATTTTTCTTTATATTTTAAGAGGTAAACTAATGAATGTTATTTCTTAAAAACTACCCTGATTTTTTGACGATAAGTGAAAAAAATTCTGTGAAAACTTCAAAGAATGATGTCTAATTATTATTCTTTTTTTTTTAAGAAAAAAAGAGGAAAGAAACGGAGTTTTTACAACACTGTGAACGAGTTACATTGTTTGGAAGTTTTAAAGTCCTAGAATTTTTTCTTTCTGGCTGCCTAAACATTGTATCTAAATAATTTGATTAATCTTTTCAATTTTTTACGTTTCAGCTTTTAGCCAATCAGAAGAACCAATTCCAAAGACAGCAAGCGCTAGCTCTAATGTGCAGGTAAGTCATTTGTGAAAACATAAATTTTATCATCAGGTTAGTGTTCCTCAGATCTTTTCCAGATTTGAACGCAGAGTGATGAGAATTAGTTGGTGATAATAAGTTTACCAGGTTGAGTCCTGATTCATAGTCAGTTTGACTCCCTGTATATTACATGATTTGTTGCTGATAAGATCTGACTGCTCTTAACTGTTTCCAAATTTTAGTCTTGTGTCTTTGTATCTGGAGGTAGTCTCAGAAACATCAGTTCAAAGTCTTCAAAGAAAAGTCAGAAAATGGTTTTTCATGTCCTCAGAGCAATTTTCAATTTACCAAGAAGCTCAAATTTTTATAAAATAAACCAGTGGAGTTTTTAATAAAACAAGCAAATGTTTCACAAAACAGTAAAAGCCGTTGAATTAAAACTTTGAAATGTTCAAAAAAAAAAAACTCTTGCTCTCTTTTCTAATCTCCAAGTAAAAGCATGAGTTTTTTAAATATTTCAAAGTTTTATAACCAGTGGAGTTTACTTTCAAATTTAACAAAAGTTAAAAACTTCAAAAAACTCACTTATGACAACTTTTAAAAATTTCGTAGGAGACACATTTCAGGCAAACGGCCCATCATCCGCACGACTCGTGTATCTACTATTATGCTTGTAGAAGTTGTCATAAAGGAGTTTTCCAACGTTTTTTACCTTTTTTATACTTTAAAGTTAATTATAGCACTTGTGCGGAAAATTTGGTCCCATTCTAATAAAAAACAATGGAGACCGAAAGGGAGAAAAAAGGTACTTGGATTCCTCAGATATTTTGTTATCTACTTCATAGGGAAATCTCTCATTTTGTATCCCTAATTTTGTTTTCAACGGAAAATGCTTGAGTATTTTTTTCTTTGTTTTCTCCTGTTCTGGTCCAAAGACAATATTTATCTATTTTAGAGACCTTGCACCAACCTCTAAACAATGTAACTAGGGACGCAAAAGTTAAACTTGGAGGTCGATGCTTTTCATCGCTCCATAACTGTTGATTATCAACTTTGTAGAGTAAAACTTGTCAAATGATAATAAATAAACATCAGGGTCAGCACTATGCTGGGCAAGCTTTCTCAAAATAAGTTAGAATTGCTAAACCAATTGCTGAACTCTCCAGTCATGATTCATCTTCAGATGATTACGAGCTTTTACTTCTGAAAATAGCTTTTACTTCTTTGCTTTTTATGGAAGATCCCTATGCAAGGTCTTAAATTATATCGTCTCTATTCAGGCAATGGAAAATTTTGTTCTCTCTCGGTTAACTCAGATTTTTGGACAATTTTCAGGGTCTATGTAGGAAGCATAAGCTTTGAACTGAAAGAAGACACCATCAGGCAAGCTTTCTTGCCATTTGGACCTATAAAATCAATAAATATGTCGTGGGATCCTGTCACGCAGAAGCACAAAGGTTTCGCTTTTGTTGAGTACGACATTCCAGAAGCCGCTCAGCTGTCCCTAGAACAAATGAACGGTGTCATGCTCGGAGGACGTAATATTAAAGTCGTAAGTAGCTTGAATCCATATCAAATTTTTTTGTGTGTACATTCGTGTCTGAATAGATGTTAATACCGAATTGATGTATGAGTCAAATTTCAAGTGAATCTCTAATATTTATCATTGCACTTTATTTTTCGCATGGAGTCATCTATTATGTTCCTTTTCTGAATCTAACAGTGTTACGCCTGCGATATAGTAACCAGCGCAGGATCAGCAGTGTTTTACTGCAAGTCCTGTGCTTCTGTTTTCTCTCAAGAGTACGTGGTGTTCCACCAGTGGTCAGTATGTTAGTCTGAGAAAATACATTTGAACTAATTATTTCCTACCATGAGCTCTCTTTGTAAAGTTGATTTAATCGTTGCAAGTAAAAATGTAACGTCCCTTTTATTTCTTGCCTTGAAGGTAATTCTTTCTCAGCAAAGTAAAGTCCTCACACTTGATGAAAGATTTTGATATCTTCAAATACATCTTAATTGTTGGTTATTACCCTTGAAAGAACCTGCCCTTATTCTTCAGAATTTTCGAAAATTTCGCATGGAGTCATCTGTTACATTTATCTGTAAATTCAACAGTGTTACACCTGCGAGAAATTAATCTGTGGCGAGTGAATAGTGTTATACTATTTGCTTGAAACTTACGTTTTCCCTTACGAATGCATTAGTTTGATTGATAGTTAATGTATATGTCTGGGAAAATACAATTTCCACCTTTGCCTCCAAAAATCTAAATTTTTACTTAAAAAAAAACTGTACGTTGATCACTGAATACAGGTGATGATCCTGAATCCCAAGCCCTTGTATTTGGGAGGGTCATAGAAAAAAGAGGAGTCCAGCTGAACTTTTTGTCTCTCTGCAAGCCAATGATTGATGCCAGCCTGTCAAAATTAAACGTAGCCTTATTTCAGACATGCAATCTATTGCACATCGATATCTTGTCAGGCTGTTTTAACTTCCAGTAATCGACCTGCTGGTGGATTTTTAAATCCTATAATTATTATTTCCTTATCTGCATTGTATTAAATTCAAGGAATGTTCTCGAAATTGGTAAGGGGGAAAAAAATTCTGAATTTGTGTGGTCATCATGTATTCAATTCATTCATTTAGCAAGACTTTTCAGTCTCATTGACTTCGCATGGAGTCATCTGTTATCTTCCCTCCTTGAATTTAACAGTGTTACGCCTGCGGCACAGCAATCTGCACTAAGCTGCCTGTGTATTACAGGCGGTTTGGTTCTAATGTTTTCCTGTAAGAGTTTGTTCTTTCACTTTTTGACAGAGCATTAGTTGAGGAAAATACATTATCTATTGTACATGCGTGGACACACTGAGCATGTATTATGCACTGAGCATGCATATTGATAGCCGAACTGTTGAGAAATATTAATACCCATCGCAGCATTTTAAATTTTTGGTTATTTTTTCATTAAAAAGCTAACTGAAATATCTCCTTGAAATTTTTTGTGTATCTTTTGGAATGTATGATGGATTTTCGCAGAGAAAAAGAAAGATGTGTTTGAATGTCACACATCTTTGAAAGAGTGTGATGGCATATGTAGTTACGCACATTTTTGTCCTCAAGTTTTAACTTAATAGTAATAAATTCATTTTTGAAAAATGCTTAAAACTATACCTCGTTTCAGTTTCTTGAGTTTGCAAGAATATTGACGCAATATTTTACCCATCTACATCTTAATTTTAACAAATCTGCCATCACCCTCTTTCTCCATGGTTTCCATTTTTTTCAAAGGTTCTCACTTTTTGTTTCAGGTTGGTCGTCCGAGTAATATGCCGCAAGCACAATGTGTAATTGACGAAATCACAGAAGAAGCCAAACAGTATAATAGGATTTATGTTGCATCTATTCATCCTGATCTTTCAGAAGATGACATCAAGAGGTAATGATACATTTTTCTTTGAACCAAGATGTAAGTTGTCAGAATTAATATTTTGCGCAGGAATCAGCAATTTTCACTACCACATCGAATTTTGGTGGAAGAAGGGTGCATGAAATACTTAGGCATGGCATCAAGAAGTGTGTGAACAGGAAATATTGTGATTTTTTTTTTTTTTTTTTTTTTTTTTTTTTTTTTTTTTTCTTCTATCTCTTCGCTTAGCATGTTCTTTAGATGTTTCTGTGAACAAATGAAATTCTCCTAGGCAATATAAGTTATTGAGAGAGACATTTAATCGTTTCAGTTGCTTCATAAGCTAACTCAACTATAATAGAGTTGTGAATTATTTTGAAGCATCTAACCTAAAAGTCCATCGTTGCAAATAAACAAATTTCTAAGCATCAGACGGCACTGTCTTTCAAAAAGATTTCTCCGGGAAAATATTATATACCGCCATTTGTTATCAAAAAAAAAACTTCAGTGCCTCTTACCTGCTAACTAATACTACAGAGGGCAATTCTTTATATTAAGCTCAATGCTGCTAATATTAAGAATGCATGAATACAATCTCTGGCTGTTCATTGGGCGTGTGGCCTTTAGTAGATTTTGTTTTATAATACTTATAGTTTTCTTCCACCTGAAATTCTTTTCACGCAGTCAATGGGTAAAATGCCTTGTTTCTCAAACCTCAAGTAAAATTTCTGTGTGCTCATACGTTTATTCAGTATGATTATTTCAGCATTGTGTAATTTTGCTTACAATTAAGTCTTACTTATGCTTTTTATTTTGATCTACAGCGTGTTTGAAGCATTCGGCCCCATAAAGAGTTGTAAATTAGGGCAAGGAAGCTCTCCTCATCGGCACAAGGGCTACGCGTTTATTGAGTATGAAACCAAAAATGCTTCGCAAGAAGCAATTGCATCCATGAATTTGTTTGATCTCGGTGGACAATACTTAAGAGTTGGTAGAGCTATCACTCCGCCTAATGCACTCCATGTAAGTAATTCTATTTTAATGCTCATACCTCAAATTGTATCAATTTAATTATTAGCAGCAAGGTGTTGCACCACTGCTAAGCATTGATTTTCCTGGAAATTTTTCAATTAAAATTGATTTTACTATTGATTGTAAACGCTGATTTCCCTCCTAAAGGGGGAAATCATGACATAATTTTTCAGGAGAGTTCAGATGTATTTAACCAGGAAGAGGGAGGTCTAAACTCTAAAATTTCTGTAGGGAAAAAAATATACAAAACTTTAAGTAGATTTCTTTCCGTACAGAAGTCGTCGAGAGTTCGTCTGAGAGTCCGTCAAGATGTTGTCATTTCATAAGTTTATGAAATGACAAAATCTCGAGACACCACGTACTGTAGTTCATTGCAGCATCTAGTTTAGTAATGCAGCCGAGACACATTAAAGTAAATTGACAATTATTATACATAGATTGCATTAAACTTTTCCCCTCGCAGATAAGTATAGCTTCATTTCTGATTGAATACTATTATAAGTCATAGAAAACTTGGCAAGTTAGAGGATTTAAATGAATGCGGTTGCTCAATTATTAAAAGCTGTTACGCTTTCTCTCTGTTCTTCTCTATCATGAGCTATTGACGAGTTGAAGTGACCAGTAAAATATTCCCTTAAAAAATATCAACCTTTTCTCACCGTCATACATTTTGCAGGGTCCATCCACCTCTACAAGTCACATGCCAACGGCAGCAGCTGTCGCAGCAGCAGCAGCAACCGCCAAAATCCAGGCAATGGACGCAGTAGCCTCAAACACACTTATTGGTAAGTCTTTCTTTCAAAATATTCTGTTCTGAGTAATTAACTTTTCTCATGGAAAGTAACTAGATAAAGAAAAGCAATCAATTTGTTTTGAAAAGGTAGACCTTTTGAAATCAGTCGAAATAAGAGTCTTTTTTGGTTAATACTTCGCATGGAGTCATCTGTTATGCTTTCTTTTGAGCCTGACAGTGTTACGCCTGCGAGACAGCAATCGGCTGTGAACAGCTAGTGTTTTACTGGATGTTCTGGCTCATTGTTTTCCCTTAAGAGTTTGCAGCATCCATGATTAGATGACGCATTAGTTTGGGAAAACACATTCTCTTTTTTCCTTACTACATGATGCATTGTCAAAGAAAATGAGAAAACTGACTGTAAAGCAATATGATGGTGAATCTGCACAAATGCTTAATTAATTTGTTTTGAAATGATAGACCTTTAGAAATCAACCGAAGTAAGATTCTGTTTCGGTTAATACTTCGCATGGAGTCATCTGTCATGCTCTCTTTTGAGCCTGACAGTGTTACGCCTGCGAGACAGCAATCGGCTGTGAACAGCTAGTGTTTTACTGGATGTTCTGGCTTATTGTTTTCCCTTAAGAGTTTGCAGCATCCATGATTAGATGACGCATTAGTTTGGGAAAACACAATCTCTTTTTTCCTAATCACTCGATGCTTTGTCAAAGAAAATAAAGAAAACTGACTGAAAAGCAAGTTGATGGTGAATCTGCCAAAAATACATATCTTGGTTTACAACGTTACAGACCTCCTTTCATAATTTATGTCCTAATTAAAAATTGCTAAACATTGTTTCTTTGAAACTTCCATGATTTATTGTTGGTTCTTTCTCCTTCCATAAAATTAAGTGGAAGCAGAGATTTTGAAACACTGCAAAGGAGATGTATGTTTTTGCAGTTTCACTATTGAAGTACATATTGCAGTACTGCAGGTCCTTTAGCTGCTTTTCTCAGTTTGTTCACACATATTGTCTTGAGTCCCTGTCCTTCGTCTACACTCTCTAAAATCGAGTCTTTTGATTTGTGTGTTTTTGCAGGTTTATCTAAATTAGGTCAACTAAATCCAGGTGCAACAATCCCAGCAACCACAGTTCCTGGTCTACAAACACTAGCCCCAGTATTACAAGCAGTTCCCGGTCAACTCCCTGTGGGTGCCGCAATCCCACCTCCTGGCATCGCCATTCCACAACAAATTAGAGCCCCTGTTCCTATTATACCTGGTAAGAGCATATTAATTTCATACGTTTCTCAAGAACAAATATGCCATCGTTGGATATCTTTACGCAAAAAATTTAAATTTCCCAAAATTTGGTAGTTTTTCAATTTTTATGTGAAAAAGAAAGTATCAAGAAATCAGCCCATACCACGATAAACAATTAAACATATCCCAGAAACTTTATTTGTCTAATATACTGGTCATTGAGTTATTGGTTGATGTACAAATTCAAGTCAAATTACCTAAGTCTGGGGGCTAAAATTTTGTGGCTTTTTTAAGCCTGTTAAAATGTTAATGTAAGAGATGAGAAATAAACAATGCTAAAATCATTAAATTTACCTGAAAATTAACCATCTAAATGCGTTTGCGTTTATCAGTGACATTTTTAGTAACAATCTCAAACTTATTTACTTATTTAGCCTAAACACTGTATTGACACTGTTTGAAATTGTTACTGAAAATTAACTGATGTGACTATCTAATTAGCCCATCACTGAAGGAGAAAATACTCGCCTTTCGACTGCATCTTTGCAATACTAAGAAATTTCTCGCATGATTTTGCCATGAAACTACTCAATTTTCTGTACTTTACCATTGTCTTAACTTTTCCATCTTCTTCCTTAGTTTTTAATCAATGATGTTTTGTCCATTTGTTGCAGTAGGCCAACCCCTAATAGCACCACCAACGGTAGTAAATCCAGTGTTGTCGCAAGGTTTGCCTAATATGAATAACCCAGATGCTCTTCGAAGGGCGCAAGAACAAGCTCAGGTCAGTTTTTTTTTAATTGCATGAGTTTTAGCAGGGAAATGGCTACTAAAATTTTAACCGAAGCCACAATGTTAGTGTTATTTTAAGCAATAGTAGGTTCAAGCCAAAATGTAGATCTTATACTTTTCTTTTTACCATCGTTGGCCAAGATGTCTACAGAAATCTAAGAACAAAATAATAGCACTTTTATATGACTTTATACAACCGTTTCCTGCAAAGAAGTATGCCCACAAGGTTATTTAAGAAGCTTTTAGTCCCACTAAAATATAGCTGCATGGTTGCCAGAGTCAGGAAAAACCAGGAAATGTCAGGGAAAATTTGTTAAATCAGCTTCATTTGCTTTCTAGAATGGGTTTGAGGTTCCAAAAAAGAAATTTTGCCTGAAAACTATTTTAAATTATGCCTCCTTAACCAACTGTCACATCTTCAATTGTCAGGGAATTCCGCCAAAATGTGTCAGGGAAATCAGGGAAATGTCAGGAAATTTCATTTTCTAAATCCTGTGGCAACCATGTAGCTTGCAGGGAAAACATCCTACCATTATAGTAATGCTGATCAGAAGTAATGATTTAAAAAAATAAAAATTATAATCTACAAAATAATAATAATCTATCTTTATAAGTCATCTTGCATACTTGCGTAAGTTGGCTGTGCGGCCAAGAACTTTGATCCAAAAATCCTAATGCGATGTAACAAAAATTTGGTAATTTTATATGACTTTCATGTAATTATGTGACCGAAATGAAAATATCGCAATATTTTATGACCGGTAGGCTCCCTTGTTGCACATATACGAAATTTGTGATAACAGCAATTCTGACCGCTTGAAGCTGTATTTCAATTCCATCAATTTTAGTCCTCATTTTTTCCGAAAAGTCTTTTGGACAAATATTTTTTTTCTTTTTTTTTGCTCAACTCTGTTGCACCCTGAATCAAATATCAAGAAAAAAATAGTTAGATGAAATGAACTTAGTGTTACTTCATTTTTGCTCTTTTTTCTCAAGTTAAGTCGCGTTTCAACTCTTTCTCCTCTGTTTGCAGCAAAAACAACAGGAAGAACTACAAAAGAAGTTACTAGAGGAAACGGAACCACAGACCCTGCAACAGCAAGAAAACATGAGCATCAAGGGGCAAAGTGCGAGACATTTAGTTATGCAGAAACTAATGAGGAAAGTAGAGGTAAGCACCGTCCTCCAGTTGACCCTGTGGGTCAGTTGTGTGAGTAAGTTTGCACTTTTATGTCGTTCAATACCTTAACACTATTAGTTCGTAGCTATCCAGACAGCGGTGAGTCTGTTGAAAACTTTAATTTGAGGGGGGGGGAAAAAAAAGAGTTTTTCTGCGGAAAAATGACTGATAAATCACAATGCTTGAATTGTAAAAGTCTGATATTGAATTGTAACTCACCTATCAGTTTATGTAAGAAAATCTATTCGTTTTTTAACTTTCTGCTTCAAAAATTAATCATAACAAAGACGTAATCTGAAACAGATTCAAATTCATTTTCACAACTCCACGTGAAGTTAAAAATTGTTGTCATCTCGTGACCTTCATTAAAAACAATCAAATGAAGTTTTTCGGCTTTTTAAACTCAATACGAAAAACAAGATGAATAAGATATTGGAGGAATAGCGTTTGTTTTTAATTGTTTAACTGCGACCTATGACAGTGGCCGGTCACAGTTCGAACAATGGTCTCAACAACAACTTTGAAGTGAAGATGTTGAAGGCTCTCCATTTTGAAAATTTAAAAAATGGATTTTGGTATCCAGATTATACTTTCTCCATTCTTGTTTATAACCTAAACGTTGATATTTTGATCCAAGTTGTTCTGGTAGCCATTAATCTCTCTGTTTCCTCCCTCTTCTGCAGAGTCGGGTCGTTATCCTGAGGAATATGGTTGGGCCTGAAGATGTTGACGAAACTTTACAAGAAGAAATTCAAGACGAATGTAGCAAGTGAGTGTTCAGTTGCATTTTTTCTTAATCTTTAAGTTTGTGTCATGCCTGCGCAAACAGGGTCTTTCTAAAACAGAACAAGTCCATTTTTCAGTTGAGCTCTGGGCTACATCAGAATACCAGCGTTGCATGGCTTATCTGGAAAAAAACTTTTTTCCATTCAGAAAGAAACTGTTCTCTTTTTAGTTTTTTGGGGAGAAAGGTAAGAATGTTGGGCTTGAACTTGCTTTATAAATTTATTGCAGCGATACCACAACCTGGAACCTAATTTTGTCCATCCCAGTGTAATTCGATTGTTCTAGCAACAGAATCATTTGGTATTCAATTCATTCAATACTTCCACCTAGAACCAATAGACTGTTCTGATATTGATCGCTTTGCTGCACTTTTAGAAGGCGCTACAATTTAATGATGATATATCCAATGCTGCAGCAGCTTAATTCGTCTATTACGCCCAGCTTGAGCACTAAGCATAAGCTAATTAGCTCAGCTTATCAAAGGATTGGCTGAGCCTGTTGATTTTATATTTATGTGTATTCAATTTGCAGCTGAGCTCACAAATCTTAAGTTAAAATAGGTAATAACCTTGCCAGACCTTAAAAGTTGAAGTCGGCTCTTTTAAAAGCTGTAATCTAAATTAATTTTTTTTCCCCCCAAAAAAAAGACATGTTAAAATTCTAAACTAATTTAAGCAGTATTGCAATCCCTAAAATGTTCGTAATCGATTTTTTATGTTATTATAGGTATGGTTTAGTACAAAGAGTAATTATTTATAATGAAAAGCAATCTGAAGAAGTTGACGATCACAATGCTGAAGTAATAGTGAAAATATTTGTGGAATTCTCGCAGATGAGAGGTATGTATGCAAAGCAGTTAATACTCTGGGTGTACTTCTGCTTTATTTTGTGCAGTTTTTTCACACATTTACCTCAAGTTTCATTTTCTCTTTAATCTTTGATCTCAACTACATAATTTTTTGAATTTTCAACCTTATTGTGAAGTATCTGGAAAAATAAGATGAACTTGAATCCTTTTCTGGTGTGTTTCATGGGTATCTAGTGAAAATCACAAGTGGTATCACACATTGCTGAATTGATCATAATTTTTTTCTTAGAGAATGTTTGTGCAGATTCTTTTGAAAATCTCAGAGAAGTTTTTATGAGGCATGAAAAAAATTATGTAAAATTTTCGAAAGAATATGTAAAACTGATTCTCCTTTAAAGAATAATTTATCTCCAGAAATTGGATAACAGTTGGTGTTATTTATTGTTTGCTCAAAGCTGCCGTTTTTATTCTGTTTTTGGGCTACTTTTTGCAATAAGGAACCACTCCTTTTGATCCATCCTTAAAGTTATCTGTCTGCATCAGAGATACTAATGACATACAGGGTTATTCAAAAGTTACGCACCACTGGCCATAACTTTAGTTCTAATTATGATATCGATTTGCGGTTTGTGGTGTCCTTCCTCATATCAAGGGGGAAACTTTTTGAGGTACTTTCCACTTCTTCACCCCCCTAGGGGGGAGGGGGGGCGGGGGGCAACTCAAAAATTTCAAATGGCAATCCCCATCATGTGATACATCGTTAGAAAGAGCATGAAAAAAGAAAATTTTTGGCGCAAACCGGAAGTCGATCTGACCCCCCTATCAAAAGTTAGGGGGGTCCAAAGGTTATTTAGGGGGTCCGTACCTTNCAGAAATTGGATAACAGTTGGTGTTATTTATTGTTTGCTCAAAGCTGCCGTTTTTATTCTGTTTTTGGGCTACTTTTTGCAATAAGGAACCACTCCTTTTGATCCATCCTTAAAGTTATCTGTCTGCATCAGAGATACTAACGACATATATTTACCAATGGCGAAACTCCCAAACCTTGTATCTTAGTCTGTGATGTTAAAGACTTCCCGTCATACTTGATTTCTTAAAGATTACATTAACCAATGTTAATTCTCTGAAACCGCTGTGATTTTTCTTCTCTGGGCGAAAAGAATTCTGAAAAATCTTCATGGAATGGTGTTGTTTTGCTCTCCTTTAAAGTAATAAAATAGGAGCACTGCGGAATAACATCACAAACAAGATACTTGAGACGTATTTTATTCGTCGTAACAACTGTTTTCTGTGTCCTCTATCGTTTTTTTTTTTGCGTCACTTTTTCGTAGCCAATGAGAGTGAAGTGCTAAAAGTGAGGGTAGAAATCCTGTTATAACCTCGCGGAAACATGCTTTGAGGACGCTCCGATTTTTTCGAAACAATGTTCCAAAAACGTTGCCAAATTGCGCAAAATAAGTAAAAGGAAGAAGGTCAAGCCCTTCAACGTGAACAACATCCGAACAAAATACGGTTGTCACGAGATGTTCCAAGTTGTTGCGTTGAACGAAACATGTCTGAGGTTTGAGAGTTTCACAGCAGTTATGTTGTCTCTAAAATGATGCGGGAATATTGGTTCTGAGTCGCAAAATGTTGGTCAATTGATGAATTAAAGCAGTATTGGAGCTTTATTTTGTTTTATGGAAAGAAAAAGCAATTTCAATGATTTTCTCATGTCATTGAATATTATTCTGTATCCATATTGAGGCTCTAACGAATTTGCCGAGATTTCATTAATCATCAGCCAAGTATTGAATGCATTCCATTGTAAAATCCACCAATTTACTGCAGGGAAATGAAAGGATTTAAAAGGAAAGAAAGATTAAGGACTTGCCATTTTTGAACCTAAAAATCCTGATATTTGTTTTAAACGCGTGTATGCAGTACCTTTTTGACCGCTCTGTTACTTCAAGCTCTATTTTTTTAACATTTGGATTTTTGAATCTCCCAACTCGACTGCTGTATTAAAAAAAATCATCCATACCAGCATGGGATCAACAAATGCTCAGCCTACAATTTTATCTTTAGCAGAGGCAGAACCTCTCTGATTTTTAAGTCTCTTATGATTAAGCTTTATAATTTGATTTACTTATAGTTCGATCAAAATTAAAATTGTATTTTTGGTTTTTTCAGAGGCTGAAAATGCGAGAGACGCACTGAACGGGAGATTTTTCGGTGGCCGACTAGTTAAAGCTGAACTTTATGACCAAGCGCTGTTTGACCACAGTGACTTCTCTGGCTAATTTCTTTTTTAAAGCAAAATTATCTTGCTTTGACTACTTGATCTTCATCCCCATGGATAGACTTAATGATTTTTAATGACGCTTACGGACAGTGTCCGACCACTTGTACTATCTGGTGTTTTTGCAAGTATTATTGAAGTACGAGTGATGTAGCCTAAGTGGCTATGTGAAGGATGTGTCTGCTTTTAGTTGAGGTGAAATGAGTTGACGTGTGCAAATAAATCTGCAAGACATATTTCCGTTTTTGCTTTTTCCGATTTTTTGTACAAATTTATAAATCCTTGAAGCAAAAATGGGGCGTAAATAGTTGTAGACAAATAGACGGTGTAAATGTTTCTAAGTAGAAATTTAGAGATTATGGCAAAAAGGCGGAAGTCCTAGGTTTGGTATTGGTCGTGATACAAGTATTTAGTAGCAAAATAATGATATTTTCTGCTATAAGACAATTAATTCCATACCATTCGCAACAAATCTACCTTTCCTCCTTTTCTGTTGTGGGCTGAAATCTAGATGAAAATGTAAACTATTTTTAAAAAAAATCAATGTTTGAAAATTTTGATTTTTTTTCTCTTTTACTATTTTTTGAAGAGTAGCTGGAAGCAGGATGTATCCTGAGTTTAACTTAAATTCAAATTTATGCTCTGCACAAATTTTCTTTTTTTGGACTTCCGTTTTTTTTTTTTGTATGCCTCATTTCAAGTATGTAACCTCAAAGGTCCAGATAATCTAAGTTTTTGATCGTATATGTTCATCTTGTGTATTAATTTATGGAATCCCTGTTTAATTTTACTACTGTCCATCCAAACTGTAAGTCATACACCCAAAGTTGTACATTACCATTAACATTACTTACTAGAGTTGCATTTAATTTTTAATAAAATCTGTAAAAATTGACTACTTAGAATGGCCTCTATATTCTTGTCAAATTAGTCCATTCCTGCCACCATGTTTTGAATGGACCGACAGAAAAAAAGTAAAAAAAAAGAAATAACCTGTCCCATATTCTGCCGTGCTAAGGAAAATCGGTATGCTGATAGTACGTCTACAGAAAAAAGGGCTACAAAAAGAAGGGCTATCTTTTTTAGTCTACAGTCAAAACGACTAAGTTAAAATGCCTACTAAAAGTATGTCTACGGTCAAATATGTCTACGATTTGTTTGCCCACTTAGAAAATGTCAAAATATTTGTGTTGGCCACATAAAATGTATTTACAAAATAAAAAAAATAAACAAAGCATGTATAAAATATACATGTTGATATTTACAGGATCAATTATTCGCGAAATGTGCCTCACAATTTTTATGCATCAACTTCTGCAGCACCCACAGCCTCGTCCTGTCTTTGGGGATTCACTTTCAAATGAGATTCTTATTAGACAACATAAATACTTACTTCGACATTTTTTAAGTAGGCAGTCAAACCAAAGACATTTTAATACCGCAGACATATTATTTACTATCAACATTATTTTAATGGGCATTTTCATGTAGACATTTTAACTGTAGACCAAAAGAGGTAGCCCTTTTTTTTGTAGCCCTTTTTCTTGTAGACCTACTGTCCGTAAACCGGAAAACCGCCGTATGAGCATTCTGATGTTGCCAAATATCTTCTGCTTAAAATATTCATTCTTGAGTAAAGTTATACATATTTTTCCTTGAAATTTTCAGATATTTTAGATTGAATTGTGAAAAAAAAATTGGAGGAAAAATACCCAGAATTTCCCTGTTAAATTCCCTTTTTATTGAAGGAAATATAGCAACTTCTGTAGGCTCATACAGCGTTTTTCCTTAGCATGGCAGTATTTAATAGTAGTGTCAGTTGTTATAACAGTAAATACATCATCCGCAGTGATCGCCACATAATTTTCACCAGGTTTTACTTGGTTGAAATTATGAAATGTTTTTGACAGTGCAAAGGCGCCAAGATTATTAAGGACTTTTTATGGATTAAATTTTGCAAAAATAACCTGGTTTTCCTCTCGGGGACAAGGTGTCGTCCATATTATTTCTCTTGGCAGCAAATTTTGACTTCTGAAAGTTTGAGTTGAAAAATAACACATTTTTAATGATACATTTATCTTTGTTGAACGTAAATAATCATTCTCAGAACATTGAGGAAGAATCACAACGAGACAGTTCAGCGCACTATTTTCTTTTCCCGCTTCAGATGCAAAAAAATTAGAAAGCTCCTGAGAGTGGAAATTTTTGGTAACTCTTCGTATTTTGAAAAATTTTTATCTTTTTATCCATTAACTCAGTTCGATCTGCTATCAATAAAAGTATTTTCCATCAAACCAAAGAATCTTTGCCAAATTTCATCTTGATTCTTCTAGTAATTTTGCATGTCAAAGGAGAGCAAATTTTATGAAAGTAGAAAAATAAGAAAAAGTAATGAATTCTGAAACAATACAGGGCTGAATAGTTCAATATTAACTAATGCTTCAAGTCAGTGGTTTGTGGAAATTTGAGGGGGATTCGAACATATTCCCTTGAATTTTAAGATATTGTTGCTTAGTCGCTTCTGCCACACATTTTTTTTTAATTTGGCAGAAAGGTGAGCGGATCTTTTCGATGGCATAAAAGAATACAAGAATGGGCGACAAGAAAGGTACAGTATGAGTTAGAGCACTACATAACATGTCTCCTCCTATACATTTTTCAAGGGAAAAAAATCGTACATCAGAAAGTCTGGAAATTAACTCCTAAACAAACTGAAGATGTTTACAATCAATGTTGTTTTAATGGCAACAGTATGAATGACGTCAAGTATGATCTAACTTCCGTTTGATCTGTGATGAAAAAAGTTTGTTGATACCTCGTTCAGGAGATGGTTTTCGAGTTTCTCATTGTGTGAATCGATTCAACGCAAGATTTTAAAGAGGAAACATGTGACGTTTACTTCTAGTTCAGACCTTGTCTACGGAAAAATATTCTATCAATCAACTTCTCTCAAACTTATTTAGAATGCATTAATCTGCAGGAAATAAATCAATTCAAAGAAGTAACTAAAAAGCAAGGTTGGTTACTTTATTTAACTGTACAATCAGACTAGAATCTTTCGACACGGAGACTGTGAACATTTAAAACATAGAATCATGGGTTTGAAAATATTGACTCAGAGGGAAACTGTCTTAAGCCTTAAAAGAATTCTACATTTTATTATTGGGAAAGCTCTAGATTAAGATGTATGTTTAGGTCTCAAGTCCTGCCATTTCAGCCCACAGCCACATTCTGAAAGTTGAAAGGTAGAAATCCTGTGCTTGAAACAAGAAGATCTACATTCAATAGATTTCTCCCTCCAACATATCTTTCATAAGGACTGAATTTAACTGATGTGCACCAAGTCACATTGACTTCGAACCAAGATAGAAGGGCTTAAAAACACAGCTTTCTCCTTTTTCTGGTTGAAAAAACCTGATCCATTAAAATTTTACCACTAATTATTTCTGACTAACTACTTCTTTTTCTTTAGTCAAGACAAACATTTGTTTTGTACATTCAAAGATTAAATTTGCATCGGTTTGCCAAAAAATACTCTGGAAAAAAAATTCAAAATCTGAAAGAGTTTTGTCATTCTTTGCTAGGTACAGACCGGTATTTAGAAATCCAAATTGGCTACAAAATTTACAACGGATGTTTAAGTAGCACCAAGGTAGTGACCGAACACATCAGAAAAAATTACCCCGTTCTGTCAAGAATCACCACAGCCTTTTTTACAGCGTCCCTCTCTAAGAGAATTAAAATACATCTGTTGGGGCTCCGATTGACTTTCATATCAAACTCGGTCAACTTTTGTTCTTCTTGTCTCCTCTTTCGAAACTACCAGGGTTAATGTCATACTGATCGCCATAAGTAGGGAAAGAAAGCGGATCTTTCTCAGGATTTGGTGCTGAGAGTTTGAATTTCTCTGCGATCTCAGCAGCACCTTTTTTCTTCTGTTCCATAATTCTTACGTTCTCTGCAATTTCTTCAGGGGTCGGTGGAAATTTTCGACGGTTCCTCAGCCATGACTCCCACTCGGCAGGCATTGGAGCTTCAAAGTCCTCTTTCTTCGCGGTGACAAAGTAACGTTGAGGTCTTTGACGATTTGTGGATGTTTTTGGAATTTCATAATACTTGTTACCAAACGAATCTGTCCCTACGTGGTCTCCAGTAAATCTCCTTGGCATCAAGGAATCAATGAAGCTTTTCCATACATTATACCATATTCTCCTTTCACCCATTGATCTGGAAATAAAACAGACAAAGCATGAATATGGAACTTCAGCCTGATCGCTGAAATAGGTACTGCGGAGGAAAGCATATCGACAGTGTAAGTCGGCAATCACATAACTCGGTTTTCGACGTCGCAGACTTCCTGTCATACTTTATTTTTAAAACGGAAAACTACTCAACGGCAAATGTGGCATTTGGGTGTCGCACAACGTCTGAGTGCGTTGTAATTAGGAGCAACTTCATATACATGTATTTTACTTTGAGAGGTTTGATGAGGAAGTTTATTATTGTAGTTTCAGGTTTGAATTTTCCTGAGGGAAAAATGAAACCAGAAAAGCGTTTGATAAAGACTATTCATGGTAGGTTTCAGCTAAACCAATTAAATGGTGGATGCAATAAATAGATAATAAGGTATCCTTACCTGAATGGATGATTATTAAAACTTAACACACAATGGAGCACGACTTTGGAATTTGATTTCAAACTCTGGAATGGAAATTTCACAAAATCTGATTATTCGCGAATTACACGGCTTGCATATTTGCATTCATGCAACATGCAATGTTGGGTAACTTGAAGGTTATGTTTATGCAAAACGTGGAACCTGATTGGTTAAAGATAATGCCTTTGGATTGGTTTGTTACATTACTCGACATTTTTGCCGCGAAAATTTGAATAAGCGCAAAGTTTGTGGGAGCTCCGCAGCCTCAGCTTTTGAAGTTTTCAGTGATGATTGTGTGAAATTTGCTTCTGATCTACGAAAAATTAAGAGATCTTTGATTAGAAATACAACTTATAGGTGAGTAATATAACTTTTCTGTTGAGGATCTAATAAACTTGTTAGGAAACTTACCAATATTGACCGTCAAACAACGGAGACCAAACAGAGACGCGTAAAACTCATTTGCGGTGTTGCAAAATCTCCTTCTAACACAGGTAAAGTTTTGCATCCTTTCCTTTTTTTGAAAAGTATCGTCCTCTTAAGGTTTTGCTTCAATTCTCCGAAGAAGTAACGAAAGTGAAACGACGAAAGTAACGGGCAAGTGAATAGCGAACTAGATACCTATTCATTCAAAAACCAAACGGTGTACCTACAGTTGGATCGCATTTAGCACAAAGGAACCAGCGTGGTTACATTGTCTTCAAAATCGTGCAAATTCTTGTTTTCTTTTGAAAATACTAAATATATGTACAGTATTAAAATTAACACAATTATTTCCCCTTAAAATTAACCATTTTTTGATGAGATGCAAAAACTATTTGCTATATTGGGATATGTTTTAGATAATAATGAAGAGGCAACACATTAACCCTCTATTGCACACATACACATATAATGTAATTTAACGTATTTTCTTATTTTAAAAATTCTGTACGAGAGCAACAATGTTTCTGAATGCATCTACGTAAGCCCAAGATTGAATTCTATTGGATAAAAATGACGGAACCTACTCCAATGTTGCTAAATTAGGTTAAAAAACGTGTTTTTCCAGCAACCTCGCGGGCTGCGTAGGTCGGCTCTGGCAACGCATTTTCGGCACAGGATTTGGGTTGGTAAAAAGTGGTTGTAGGACAATGAAAAAAATATGTGCATATGCAGCACACTTCATACTTTTTTTAGGTGACAACCAGGGCCGGATTAAGGGGGTGGCCACATGGGCCGCGGCTCACGGCGGCAAATTTTGCAATGTTTTTTAAATGTAGGTATAAAGATAAAATTTCAAATGGGAAAATGCGACAAAATCTTGCATTTCCTGTGAGAATCGTAATTTCTAATTTTGTCGTTTTGCGGTGATACAAAAGACAACACCTTTAATTTGTCGAGTTATGAGAGAAACCAAACACGCAATTTGGCCAGAACGCTCATTCATGAATATTCTTGGCCGTTTTGGTCAGGCATTGGAATCTGAATTCTGTCAGTGACATTTTTGTATCAGAAGGTTGGCTGCCCTTTCATTAGTCTAGTTGAGAGAGAAACCAAACACGCAATTTGGCCTGGAGCGGCGCGGCGCAGAGAGCAATGATGACGAGGACTCAAGATGAAAAACAGAGGCAGAGGCCCTCGGCGCGGCGGTCGGCATGTAACACATATTAGCGCCTACAAGACTGCGTGAATACTTCACGTATTGCGTCAAACACAGTGCGGTCAGCAGTGGTCGCCGTGTAACGCATAGCGCCCACAAGACTGCATGAATACTTCACGCATTGCGTCAACACAGTGCGTTCAGTAGCGATCGGCGTGAAAGGCATAGCGCCTACAAGAGTGTAGGAATACTTCACGCATTGCGCCAAACAAAGTGCGGTTCGCACGGCGCGGCGGTGGAAGTTAAAATTATTGAACCACATTCCTGATTGTTCTTTCATAATTTTTTCGTTCATTTCTTATTAATGGAAGGCATTCTCCACACAGAGACAGGTTTATGAAACTTAACTTTCGCGCCAAGTTCCGTGAATTTTTGCTAGCAGTGTTGACAGGGTTTCCGCAAAAAATGTATCCAACACGAGTAAACGCGTCGTATGCATCCCTATCCCTCCGGCACGTTCACTTGACGGTTTTTATTGATGTTTCAAAACGAATGAGATTGGGGCGGCAAAATACAGGCCGCCCATGGGCGGCAAGTAGGTAAATCCGGCCCTGGTGACAACCGGAAATATTAGATGCAAAATGGGTTCTTAACAAATTTATTTAAAACCGAATAACATATAAATGCGTGATCTCATGCAACTAACTCTGGCGGCGAAAATGACAAGTTACGTATATGTCATTCCATGGAACCGATTGTGGCCAATAAAAATGAACATACGGCTAATATTCACCTATAATTTGATTTATGCTGGCAAAAACAGTGTTCTTCTAATATCTAATCTCTGGTAAGACTAATGTTTTCTATTTTTTCAATAAAATGTACTTATGCATGTTTTCCATGTGACATCTATTTTTAAGGGTTTTTACCAAAGTTGCCTTGAATCACATATATGTAATTTCTCTTTTTATTTTTTTTATCTAAGTTGCATGTACCTACATATATGTAACTACCACTTTGGGGGGCCATTTGGGGGGAAAATTGCCCCCTCCCGCCCAAAAATAAATGGGACTCTATTTTTTTTCAAAGATCTTTCAGAAAAAAATTTTTATTTCAAAATCCGTGATCCAAAATTAATTTATGCAATAGAGGGTTAACAACACTGTAATTGCGCTGGTTCCTTTTTGCTAAATGCGATCCAAACAGGCCCGGACTTAGAGCGTGTGCAGGGCGTGCAGCGCGCATGGGCGCCAGCCTTTGGGGGGCACCACGAAATAAGAAGAGAGTGAAAAAAGGGGGGAAAGGAAAAGGAAAAACAGGGAAGAAAGGACAAGGGGAAAAAAGGGAAAAGAAACAAGGTTGGGCAGTGAAAGCAAGGAAGAAGGGGGAAAATGGAAGGAAAAAGGAGGCAAGAAAAGTGAAAAGAGAGTCCGCGAGAAAGGGGGGGGGCATAAAAACCATAGACAAAATATAAAGAGAATTGCCGTCTAAAGGTAAATTTTCAGGACAAAAACTCCACCTGGTCCATAAACGGTCAGGCGCCCCTTGACCCTAAATTTGCGGCTGTACAGAAATACAAGAGTAGGCATGTAGTAAGGGGGTGCCATAAATCCATCGAACAGGAGCCGACATAGCATTTTAGGCCACGTCCGCCATCTTGGATTTGAGAATTTTCACAAATCGACTAAAAATTGGAGTTTCCCGTCAAAAAGTACTCCTGATCCCGCGGTTTACAAAGCTCTAACGAACAGAAACGGAGGCCAGAACCGGGGCTCATTTTAGGCTACATCCAACATTTTGGAGTTGAGAATGTTAAAAAATTGACTAAAAATTCGAGTTTTCCACTGAAAAATGCCGTGTGATACCGCGTTTCACAAGACTCGAACGAACAGAAACCGAGATAGCATTTTAACCCTCGTTCGCCATCTTGAATTTGACAATTTTAAAAAATGGACTAAAAATTCGAGTTTCCCGTCGAAAACTACCTCCTGTCACCGAATTTCTGAAAAATCCATCGAACAGGGGCCGAGATAGCATTTTAAGCCATTTCGGATTTTCGAATTTTGAATTTTTTGAATTTTGACAGATGATCCCCGAAATCGAAGCTCAGATTCGGATTCCTCGTAGAAAACCGATGCGATTTCATGTATCATACCCTGGCACCGAATTTCAGGAAAATCTATCGATCAGGAGCCGAGATGGCATTTTAAGCCACTTCAGTCATTTCGGGTTTTTGAGGTTGAAAAATTTTACTTAAAACGCGTGATACCCAAAATCGAAGTTCAGATTCGGATTCCTCGTAAAAAATCGATGCGATTTCATGTATCATACCCTGACACCTTTCAGGAGAATCCATCGAACAGGNAATTTCCTTCAATCTCGCACGATGCAATTTAAGGGGCACGATCATTTTCTACCTGCTTTTGAGCAGGTACGCGTTTCACTCAGTTGTTCAAATCTATTGTTGGCCCCAGAATGCTTCCAGCACGCGTCAAGGAGGATTGAAGAAGCTCTGCTTGGAGAAACCCTGAAGAATGGTTCAAGTATAACTCCGGATTCTTGGCCCAAGAAGACGGCTCGTCACGGTAAATTACCCAAGAAGCAAATGTTACAAGGGGGAGCCGAGATGGCATTTTAAGCCACTTCAGTCATTTCGGGTTTTTGAGGTTGAAAAATTTTACTTAAAACGCGTGATGCCCAAAATCGAAGCTCAGATTCGGATTCCTCGTAAAAAATCGATGCAATTTCATGTATCATACTCGAGCATAGCGTGAAGGAAAGAGACGTAACGTAGGCATACTGATTCGAGCATATGAATGCAACGTGGCAACATGGGTAGTGCTCAGTAGGTCAGCGGAGGAGGAAGAATAAGAATTTATCGTGAGGAATTCCTCGCGACGAAACCGAACGCTTAGCCGGCCCTTAAAGTGGCGCTTCCCCGTTCGGTTTCACTCGGGCGACAGGCGGCGGCGTAGTTCAAAGGGGAAGTACGACAGAATCTATACGCGTCGTTAAACCCTTTTCCTTCACGCTATTCTAACATATGATACTTGAAATCTCATCAATTTTTCATGAGGAATCCGAATCTGAACTTAGATTTTGGATATCACGCGTTTTATTCTATTTAAAATCGTAAGAGAATTCACAGAATTGCCCTTGAAAATTGATCACACATTAGTGTTTTTTTTTACGTCATTAAACCTCTTTCCTTCACGCTATTCTAACATATGATGCATATAATCTCATCAATTTTTCACGAAAAATCCGAATCTGAGCTTAGATTTTGGATATTACGCGTTTTAATCTATTTAAAATCGTAGGAGAAATTACAGAATTGTCCTTGAAAATTGATCACACATTAGTGATTTTTTACCCCGTTTTTCTTCTACGTTCACATAATGAAATTAGATCAACAGTTGACTCATCGACTAGTCTATAGCCTGACCCCCCAGAATCGGTCTAAAGGGCGAACGATTTTATTAGATAATATGTTCGGTCCTAGTTTCCGGGCAATTGCGGTTTGATGGAAGCTGCGATGAGGAGAAACGGAATAAGATATGCGAAACTCGGGCGGATATTAAGTGAGAAACCAGGTAGGGGAAAGGCTTTCTTCCCGATAAGTTAGTGCTCGGACCAACTTACATGGTCACTGGAGCATTGTATAGCAGGTTGTGGGAAACTATTTTTGTGCAGCAACAACCAATTGGATCGCATTTTGCAAAAAGGAACTAAGAGCATTTCAATGTTGCTGGGATTGTGCAACTTAGGTACATTCTTTGCAAAAAGTAAACTTTGCGACGGTAATTTTCGTCTTGAATTCATAATTTATTGGGAGTAGAGGTGAAACTAGTTTAGATGATCGTTTATGTTTGCAAGGTTAGTGACATTGGAAATGCTTTTGATCCAAATATACGTTGGAAATAAAATGAAAGGGCCCAAGTAGCAGTGATCGCAATAATTGCGATTCCAATGGAGAATTTTTCTCGACTTTATCGACTTCGTTTTGAGTAAGTATTTCGGTGCCAAAAAATGTTGAGTAGGTGCAAAACCCGACTATTTCTGCAAAATATAGTTGTGCAGGTGTACGTTCACCCCACCAATCTCAACTCTCAATTTGTTTCCAAAATCAAAAGTAATGTCAGGCAATGTAAATCAATAAACGATAGCAGATTTGACCATTTTACAGCGCTCTCGTTTTCATTCTAAAATCAGCCTCATTTTACCACAAATATTGTACTTTACAAAAAAACAGGTTGAAACGCAAAGTTCAAAATTTAACCATCCAAACCAGTAAAAGGCGTAACCCGGGCGCGGGCGGGAGTCTTTTCTTTCGTAAATTATGAATTTTCAAATTTCGAATTCATGGCTTCAATTTTTTTTGCCTTCTCTTATCTTAGATCGACTTGCTCGAGCGAGCGACTTGTTTAAATTAATTCTGCGGTTTTTGGATATTTTTTAAAAAAAAATCGGGGGTATACGATGTATACGATGTGTAAGTTTCCCTGGTGACTTTTATGAAATTTCAACTTCAAAATACCGAAGAATACATATACTTACCTACAAATACAGCCAAGATGGACAAATCACAACATTGATTCCATTGATTGGTACCTACTACACATTAAAAGGTTACGCTTTAATCGGAAGTGAGTCTCTCCCTGGTGAAAATTGGCGATAAGGCGTTTTCAAATACCATAGGAATTCTTATAGCCGGCTAAAGAAGGCTACAGAAAATCATATAGCTGGCTGTAGAATGCGGAGAAAATCATAAGGCCGGGCTATACGAAGCGATAAAAAATTATGCAGCCGGGCTATAGTTCCTATCGCCGGGCTTTACACTTTATCGCCTGGCTGTTGCTTTTTCGCCATCGATTATAAAAGGCCATAAGAAATTGTGTAGAAATTCGTGGGCTTTGGAAATCATCAAGTTCGATACGGAACCACCTTAATATTTACAAAACACACGTTATATTTTCTTCTGATACATATTTTTTTTCATCAATTAAAATGAGAATAATCCATACAGGATGTGCAAACGTTTCAAAATCATGAGTTGAATAACGCTGACTGCGCCAGATTAAATATTAGAGCCTAACACAAAGCGGAGCGGCGACGCACTGGCGCCTACAAACCTAACAGGGATACTTCACGCATTGCGCAACGCGTGAAGTATCCCTATTAGGTTTGTAGGCGCCAATGCGTGTTTCGCGCTGGCTGCCCCGCTGCCCGCCTGCCGCGCCGCAGCGTGCCACGCCGCTTGAAGCAACTATTTCACACCAGAGGTATTGCACAGTATCATACGAAACTGAAGGCGCTCTAATATATTAAGAATGGCAGGCATCCATCAAAAGTACGTAGCTTTCCTCGCAAAATAAATCAAGATACTACGGCCCAAAAAAAGAGCAGTATTCCAAAAACTCACTAAGTCCTAGCATCCGTAATTAACGTTTAGCATACACTTTATCGCCTGGCTATTGCTTAATCGCCATCGGCTATAAAGGACTTTATAAGAAATTGTGTAGCCGGCTATAGAAGCTATTGGAAATCTTACAGTTGGCTGTAGGTCTATGGTATGTTTTAACACAGATTCTACTGCCAATTTTTACCAGGGCCCCTCATTTTACTCACTTAAAATAATTTTTATTTTTTTAATTGAATAAGTTTTGTATTTTAAAATTAACTTTTATTTTCCTGCTTTCACGAAATTTACATGAACTCCTCGACGAAATATGGTATCGACTGATGTGAGATACTTTCATGCAGTATGGAAAGATGAATCGCCTTCATTTTACTTGCGTATGCAAGAAAACAACACATGAGCCCTTATTGTTGCATCCAATCGTTAGGGACTGTACCTATTCCAGTCATTCTTCAAACAGCGCCTTTCCCAAGGGAGAATTCATGTAGTTTACACTGGGATTAAGTAAGGGAGGTTTAAGGGCATTTTTGTTGCTGCGTCATGAAAAGGAAAATGTTTATTAATTAAAATGAATTACCTTTTTTTTTATTAAAATCATACAGTTTGACAGAAAATATATCCATGTTTTTCTGCCACTATGTGCATTATGACGTAAGCTCTGTCATGCATGTATTCTTACGGGTCTAGGGGCTCTTGTCTTAATGCACATAGTTCGCCGTTTGGCAGAAATACGGCCACGCGTCAATAATAAGGCAAGATTTCTTTATCTTCCTTTAAAATTTTAATATTATTATTCCGGGACGGAAGACTGAAAAGCATTAGATATAGAGGCCCATTTTGGATTTAGCACTCTTACTCTCGCCCCACGACTTTACGTCACACTCAATATCACTGGACTTGAAATCAGATCCGTCGCTGTACATGAAGCTCCCGGATACTTTCTTCTCTCCGAAATTGAGCCCAACGAGAACGATGTCACTCTGGATGCCTTCAGCTTTGCTTCCTTTGGTCATCTCGAAGAAGGCTTTGAAATCCTTGCCGGCGATGGTGCGATTCAGGGCCTCCCTGGAACTCCCGTGCACCGCGGCCTGGATGATGATCCCCGTGTGTTCGTTAGCCACCTCGTCCGTCCGCAGGACGACCAGTTTGGACAGCGTCGGCGTTTGCTCTCCCGAGACGATTATCTCCACTTTGGGTCCTACCAAGTACTGGTTTAGGACGGTCGCCACGAGAGGGGTCAGCAGATCGTCCGTCGTCAACGGTCGTCGCCGGGCGAACAGGTCCGCGATGCTCCCGATTAACTTCGCTTGGGACTCTTGGGTTCCTGTCAGTCCCAGGATTGCGTCCAGGCATTCCTCGTGGTCGTCCTCCCGGATCCCGAAGAGGTCGGCCACGGCCGCCGTGAAATGCGAGATCAAGATGTTTTTCACCTGGAAAAATCGAGATTCTTCAAGGCAAAGGCGGTACCGCGTGGGGCCGTGGGGGTGTGCGCCCCCCCCCCTCCCACGTTCAATCGAAAAAAGGAGGAAGAAAAAGGGAAATAAGAGGAAAGATGGACTCTTATGTTTATGATTCTGCTATGGATCACGATGAAATTGATTCTACCTGCATATCAGATGCTTTTAAATTGCGACAATTTCCTGACGGAGGCCCCCCGCCGGACCCGCCTCCCCTTTCATCCCCCGCCGGTCAATTCGTATAGAGTCCCTTTTTACCCAGAGTAATGACATCTCGATTATCAGCTGACTGGCAGCCGGCCTTGGCTGGCCATGGAGGCCGAAACGAGTGCACCCAAACGAACGATATTGAGGGATAAGGATCAGGAATCCTGCGATGTCTGTCACACAAAAACAACAACATCAACAAATTGATCAATTAAAAAGAAAATGAGATTGGTTCGTGAATAATTTCTTAATCTATTTTCATTTTGGACCGATGGAAATAACAATTTACTCTTGAAAAACCACAATTAGGTAATATTTTCATTATTCTTGTTCACATTCGAGGTACCGCCATCTTGGTGCACTCGTTTCGGCCTCCATGAGCGAGAACCAATCAGAATTGCATTTTTTTTTTAGGCCACTTTCAGCCCAACCCTGGCCCAACCAAAAGTGAGTTGTCTTAACTCTGGGTATAAAGGGACTCTAAATTCGTATGGATCTGCCTATGTTTCAAGGACCGTTCACGCACAAACGTACACTGAAAAAAAATTCGGTCATGGCAAATTAACTGAATGTTCCATATACCATCCCATGGGTTTGTCATATCGAACTCTTAGTTGATGTAACCGGACGTTCGGTTCATCTAATCAAACTTCTATCATCAGCTCACTTCTTCACCTCATTAGTTTGGTTATAGAAACCGATACCGGTTACATCAACTGAAAGTTCGATTTGACAAACTGAATTAATCGAACACTAAACGTTCAGTACATAAGTATGACCGAACTATTTTTCAGTGATTAAGTAGATAAGCTACTACAAGGGGGGAGGGGTATACAGGCGAGTCTTACAAGGGTAGTCGGGTCAAGACAAGTCTTTTTTTATATCTGGTAATCTTTTCTAATAAAAATAATTTTTCCAGTCATTTCTTAGGCTCTCTATATTATTTTCTAAATTTGGGTTCCAGGCTATATATACACTGAAAAACATTTCGGTCGTATGTGAACCAAAGTTCGGTCTTCCATATAATCCAATCTGATTAGGTTCGTCGAACCGAACTTCCGAGTCGTGTAACCAAACTTCATCGGTAAAGAGAAGTGACGAACTAAGTTCTGTCATGTGAGTCGAATGTTCGGTCACACGAACCGAATACTCGGTCACACGAACCGAAAGTTCAGTTTGACAAAGCGAAGAATTGGGATGATACGGAACACCGAACGTTCGGTTCATATGACAGAAAATCTTTTTCAGTGTAGTCTCAAGCAAATCAAATAGGAGGTAAGGCAAAATCTCACGGGTTTAAAATATGCCGTAAAAAAATTTACTTGTCTCGGATTGGAATTTGTTATCCACCATAGGAAAAAGTAAGAGAAATAATTTTTAAAAAAAAATAAACCTCCAACCTCTACGTTCGGCAACGCCAATATGATATCCTGTTTGTGTTTGCTGACAAGTGTGAAGTATCCCAGCTCGAATAAATACTGAACGACCAAATGAACATTGACGGGCTCAACAACGACGTCTCCCTTCGACTTTTTCGCCCGATCCAACGCACTCTTCAAGCTCGCGAATTTATCATAGGTCATCGCTTCCTCGTACACAATCCGCACCTCGTATCCAAGTATCGCAGACCTCAAAAATCGCATCACCTCCGTGATCTTAAAAACACTTGCGAAAGGCACCTCGCTGTCCGCACTCCAGTAGACCTTATCCAGGCCAGTCTCGAAGTACCTCACAACCGACGCAGTATTAAACACCTCAAAAGTGTTCCCGAACCTCGTATCCTCGACCTTGTAGCCGCCGTAAGTCTTCCTGGCTTCCGGCAGACTGCTGTTCTGATTCGGGAACTGTTGCTGAAGAGTGCGTACCTCCTCCTCGCGGGACCCGAACGCCACTGCAACTTCCGGGTGGAAATGGAACGTCAAGTTTTTGAGGTTGTCGATGTCGCGGTACACGTGCGAGGGTGGCAACCGGGCCACCGCGAAAGTTTTCCAGACGTGACGATTCCCTTTGACTAGAGCACGGACCAGATCGTTCAGGTACTCCACCATTGGACCCTGCTCCGCGTCCATGCCTAGTTCCAGCATTCGCCGCAAGGGTGCGTCCAGGTCGTCTATCAGGAGGAGCAAACCGGTTGCGTTGAAGTACGCGTTCAGGTGGAACGTCAGAAGGTACGCGTTGATCTGCTCCACGGCCGCGTTCTCAACGCGGGCCTGACCTTCGAGTTGGTCGATGAAGAATTTGCGGCTTTCGTCGTTCGGGTTGTCGCTGCGAAGGTACGGCATGTCCCCGATCGCATCGACGAACATTCGGCGGACGGAAGCGACGAACGTCTCCCATGTTCGGGTTTCGAGCGTGGTGAAATTCAGGAGGAGAACCGGCCTCGAGGCGAAGTGCTTGTCGAAGAACGGGTTTTGGTTGACTGCCAGGCGAGTTTTCGTGGTGAAATAGATGTCGGTGAAGAGTTTGTAGTTGGATGAATTATGTTTCGGGATTCGGGTTCCGTTCTTGTGGACTGGAGGATGGTAGAAACGGCGCAGCATGTCTAGGCTGGTGGATTTGCCGAAATGTTTCGGCGCGGTCATGAGCGTTGAGTTCTCCTGGGCGTCGAACCACTTTATGAGGTGGGTCTTGTCGACGAAGCGACCGGTTCGCGCCAGTGCAGCAAAGTCCAAGCACGAGCTCTCCTACACAACACAGAGAACGTATGAACCGTTAGAGCCAGGGGTAGTATAAGTAGGTATTAATAATAAGCATAATCTTCTAGAGACAAGGTCCACAGATCAGTTTTCACAATTAAGAAAAAAGTGTTTCAGGGTCGGATTAAGGGGGTGGCCACATGGGCCGCGGCCCATGGTGGCAAATCTAGGGGGCGGCAAATTTTGCAATTTTTTCAAATGTAGCTATGAAGAAAAATCGGATTCAGAAAAAAAAAAAAATTACGAACGAGAAAAGGTGACAAAATGTCTCATTTCCTGAGAGTATATCTCTAATTTTGTCGTCCTTTTGTGATACAATAGACAGCACCTTTAATTAGTCGAGTTAAGACTAAGAGAGAAACCGAACACGGAATGTGGCCCGGAACGGCGCGGCGCAGAGAGCAATGATGACGAGAACGATGGAAAGGAGAAACCTTCGGTGCGGCGCGGCGCGGCGGTCGGTATGTAACATATATTAGCGCCTACAAGACTGCATGAGTACTTCACGCATTGCACCAAAGACGGTGCGGTCGCTGCGGTCAGCAGCGGGCAGCGTGAAGTGCATAGCGCCTACAAGACTGCATGAATACTTCACGCATTGCGTCAATCACAGTGCGTGCAGCAGCGGTCGGCCCGAAACGCATAGCGCATGTAAGACTGTAGGAATACTCCACGCATTGCGCCAAACACAGTGCGGTCAGCGCGGCGCGGCGGCGGAAGTTAAAATTATTAAACCACATTTATGTTTGTTCTTACATAATTTTTTGGTTCATTTCTTATAAATGGAGGGCCTTGTCCATACAGAGATAGGTTTACGGAACTTAACTTCCGCGCCAAGTTCCGTGAACTTTTACTGGTAGTGTTGACAGGGCTTTCGCAAAAAATGTGACCAACAAGAGTAAACGCGTCTTATACGCCTCTCCCCCTCCGGCACGTTCACTTGGTGGTTATTATTGATGTTTCAAAACGAATGAGAAGGGGGCGGCAAAATACAGGCGGCCCATGGGCGGCAAGTAAGTAAATCCGACCCTGAAGTGTTTGAGATTATCCCCTAAAATTGTGGTACTACTCCAATTTCTTGGATGATATGGAGATTTCCAATTAATTGTAGCAGTACCGCAAAATTTGGGTTAATGACCAAATTTATTGGGGTACTACCACAATTAATTGGAAATGTTTTTATCATCCAACAGCCCGATGCTCTTTTTTCCGTTTAGCCACATAGTATATTATCTCAGTAATTTGAATCATTCAAATAATTTTAACACTTAAACTTTTTCACCAAGAGATTGCACTTTCTCGTCAGCAGTTGACCAATAAATGCCGATCTTAAACGCTCAATGAAATAAGTTCCATGTATACCGGAGTCCGGAGAGAGCAAACAGTTATTTTTTCAAACACTTAATATCTCGCTCCAAAAACTTTGTTGAAAGGATAGACCCTGCGTTAACGTAAAGACAGGCATAGTTCACATTAATTTCACCTTTAATTCCGCCGGCAAGCAACAAAAATACCGGATAGCCTCGAATGGCGAGCCTACAAACAGGGTCGGACTGGCTCGCATCTGAGGGCGTAGACCCTTGGCTGGATGAAGGGTTGCAATGTGATATACTTTTCGATAGGGCATTCCCTATGTGGAGGAGGATTCAGAGAATTTTGGAAAAGCAGTACAAATTTACGCTACTTTCAGGTTCAAAGTTGCTTAATCGTATAGAATAAAAATAGCAAAATTGAAAGTATTGAAGTAACCAATAGACGTCTAAAATTAAAGAAAAAATAAAAAATCAAAGCTACCAGACGTATCCAAGCACCATAATTTCCAAAAGAACCGAATCAGTGCTGCGGTTTACACGAGCTTAAGATGTGGGTTTGCAAATCCATCCTAAAAAGAATCAGACATGAACCTGAATAAAGAATTAATAACACAGCCGAAGACAGGAGAGACGTATTCGAGCCTCTTTTTTATCTTTTCCACGGGGAATCTGGGCGACACCTCTTTGATAACATGTAGCGGATCATTGAGAGTTCACTCTTCGCGTCATCGCGCCTTCAATTTTTCAGATGCAGGACGGACGTCCACCAAGTACGAATAGTTGCATCTGGCGCCGCATGGCGGCCCCGAATCCGGGAGCCCCGAAAAAACACCGGAGTGCTTTCCGACCATGAGCCCTGGGAAGAACGGCCGTAAACGGGGACTAAGGCTCATCTTGGATTGGTCCATACGCTGTTCTGTCCTTTCTCTCTCTCGCACTCATTGCTCAGATGCGGCATGTCAAAGGAGCACACTCGGCTTTGATCCGCCGCCGTTTTATCGTCTATCTCTCTCCCACTCATTGATCAGATGCGGCAACCCGCGGCTCGTCAAAGGGACACACACACTCGCAAAAATACAGGCTGGGCCTCGTAATTTGGTCCGCGGTGGTAGTGGCGCGCCGTCGTCAACACGCATCCTCACACCGCAATCACACGCTGAATGTGGGAGCTGAATTCTTTGAATGTGGAAGTCATCGGCCCGATGCCTGAATTTTGCGTGTGACGCGCAAAATTCAGCAACGATTCTCAGCAACCATCGGACCAATTTTGAATTTCGTCTGAACTATTCGAGTAAATTTGATACACATCTGGATGAAAATAAGTCGAATTTGCTAAATTTCAGCCGTTGGGCGATGACTGTTGACTTCCACATTCAGGTGCTAAATTCAGCGTCTGATTGCGGCATTATTTCCCTCGATCTATTATTTCCATACTGTGTATGTTTCCGTTTGTCTTATTCGTAGTTGTGCTTCAAGCACCACGTGAATAATTCAGCCGAAGATCGGAGAGATGTCTGGGCCACGATTTTTACCGTTACTCCCGAATCTTACTAACATCATTGAGCAGTGCATTGCGAGCTCACGACTCACGCCATCGCGCCTTGCAATTTTTCATCTGCAATGTGGACATGCATCTTGTGCGAATAGATGTATCGCGTTTATATGTCTCTTATTTTTGAAATTTGAGATAAGTTAAGGTCAAATTTGCTCGAAATATGCTATGGTAGGTCCAACTAAATTGTCATTTTGAAAAGGAAAAGAAAATAATGACAGATATGTTTTTATGCCTCTCAAGAACTCTCTAAAGGGTGCATTTGTCTAAAAATCGAAGCGGCCATCGCTCCGAAGGGAGTTACATAGTGGATGAAGGAGGGGGATGATGAAGCGCCTGTATGTCAAAAAAAAGGTGAAAATTGTACAGAAGAGTGTATACGCTTCAGAAAGTAGTTTCCTGAACCTCTACTCACCACTATCATGCGTCCGAGCACCTTTCTTTACTCCTCACTCTCTCTTCTCCCGTCCATTAAAGACATTTTCCGCATATTTTCTCGGTCGTAATTTTTTTCTCTTCTTACTATACTATCTGGACTGCATTTTGCAATTTGGAACTATAAATTCTGGCCCGGTTTAAAAACAACGTATGTGCCATTAGTTTTCCTATGCACATAAGTGTTTTTACGGATGAGTCAGAATTTATAGTTCCAAGTTGCAAAATGCAGTCCATCTGTAAGAAGGGCGCTTATCTGCCAATGGCAGATTGACCCTATAGCCAGCCCGAGCCTGCCTACATATTCGAGAACCGCATATAATATATCTTGCTCCATACTCTTTGATTAAGCCAATAGAGAATGCGTAACCTATTGGTTGATATCGTCAACCAAAGGTCAGCCTTCGATTTCGACGTATAGGCAACTATCGTACAAGGGCGCGCGAATAGTTATTTTCTCAAAAAACATATATCTCGTTCATAAACTTTGTTTGACAAAGGGGTACCGCGACCGTGTCTAAACCTATTGATAGATATATCGCCCATCTGAAGTTTGCCTTCAATTTTGCTGCATAGGCAACAAATATACCGGAAAGTCGACCGTTACTGCTGATCGGTGCTCTTATGACGATTATAAACAATATTGCTTTTATCCCCCTAGTAAAAATTGGCGATAAGAGTTGCGTTTCAAAATACCATAGGAATTCTTATAGCCGGCTAAAGAAGGCTGTAGAAAATCATATAGCTGGCTGTCGAATGCGAAGAAAATCATACGAAGCTATAAAAAATTATGCAGCCGGGCTATAGCTCCTATTGCCGGGCTTTACACTTTATCGCCTGGCTGTTGCTGTTTCGCCATCGATTATAAAAGGCCATAAGAAATTGTGTAGAAATTCGTGTGCTTTGGAAATCATTAAGTTCGATACGGAACCACCTTAATATTTGCAAAACACACATTATATTTTCCTTTAATACATATTTTTGGCGCGTATACGTAGTATACCGCCTTTGCGATCGTTTCGACCCCCCACTCGATACAATAACCGAGTCCCTTAGTTCCTTACCGAAAAGTGACTACCGCGAACTTCTGAGATTTTCCAAAGCGTGTAAAAAGTTTATTTATCCGTCAATAATTATGATTTAAAGTTGTTTCTCATTCTGGGGCTCTATAGTTTATGTGTAATGAATACCAAGAGTCTACGTTACTTGGTTTTTCTTAAAAAAACCTTAGAATGCGACGCGCTGATTTAAAATATGCATATATAAGCAGAAGCAAGCGAACTGATTCGAGGATGGCTGATCAGGTCGGCACTCGTTGAATGATAATTTCACTTCTTCGTTTTGTTTAAAACGTTGCTTTGACAGATCTCCATACCCCTGTTATCATTTTCAAAATTTGGTACTCCTTCCTCTGATAGCCTGGGCCAGCAGGATAGTGGTAAGTGCAATCTGTGATGAGCCTCGAGACTCATTAGCTCATGTGCTAACCGTGGCCCATACAGAAATTCACTCCCCTATCAGGCCAAAACAGTGCACAGGCAGGCACAAAACCCAGGTAGTGTCCCGGTCCTGGCTCGGTTCGCCGCGTCGCTTCCCAGCTGAAGAACAAAAGGCGACCCTCGCGGCCCTCGCCACAGTCAGACCTAATTACTTTCACTCGATTACCCATTTCACCGTCACGCTGGGATCCATCAAATTTTCGAAAAAATTGTTTCGCGAGTACTTAGCAATTTTTTCCTTACTCTCCATTCAAAGACGAATTGAAAGAGGTCTCATTCATAAAAATCGGCCGAATAGAAGAGAAGTTACAGTATTCGAAATCCGAAGAAATCAACGAAACTTCTCCATACAAAAAATAAAATGAAGGGGAAAAAAGAAATGTATAAATTACGATTAAATATAATTGACCTCAGAATTTGGCAAGCAATTCAACTATATAACGGAGAAAAAATTGGGAGAAATTACAAAAAATTCGCCTCTTGCAAGGGGCTTCCTTGTAAGAATTTTGATCTGAAGGCAAGGATTGAATACCAGCGCAATACACCATACAATACAGGATGTGCCTGAACGAACATTTTTTTTTTTGTGTCAAAATCGAAAATTCTAAATATTTTTTAACTACAGTGTCTCTTGAGTCGTTTAAGCCAAAAAAAAATCCGTCAAGATTCTGGAAAGTAAAGGCGCTTTAAAAGTATTCTGGGGCTATGTATCCTAACTGTGTCCACACATGGTTTCTGTTCAGCATATCCATGTGTAAGTATTTTTACACGTAGAATCTAATTTTCACGTCAGGGAGTCGCCACATCTCGATTGTTTCCATTTTATACGGAAAATTGATGGTTTTTCGGGATTGAAATTATTATTGTTTCATGAAAAATAAATGCACCCAAAATGACCATAGCATATTGATTTTTATATATTTGCACCCACGAAATTGGTTGGTAAATTCAACGAGTGAGTGCATTGACCTGGTATATCAAGTTTCTGCAATTTTTTACGGCAAATCGGTAGATTTTCGGGATGTAGATTGCTTACTTTCAATTCATGAATGAATAAAGCATGGACATGGTTGAACTTCTTTGCATGGAAATACGTTTAAAAGAATAAAATCAAGACATATTTAATGCAATTGCATTTATATCGAGTCAATTTCTTTTCAATAATATATCGGGATTTATAATAGGTACCGGTGATTTGGATATTTTAGCCCCAAAAAGACCTTTGATTCGACTGTATCGTTCAGGAGTTCGACAGAATTTTTCCTTTCTTCGCTTAAATTATTCCGTAGCACTTTTCTTTAAGAATCTGATAAGATATTGCTGGGGGCAGATCAAAAAACTTAAACTCGTTCGAATGGCTTTCTACATTCACAATACAAGGTCTCGTCAAAGTGCGTCGTTGAAGAGTTGGATCGTATGAATTCTCTTGTTGTGCTACTTGCCTATTTTGAAATCTCTGTAAATGAAAACTAAAGGGGTTGATATGTGTGAGTTAATGACGCGCCTTATCAACACACTGTGTTGGAGTTCACTGCTTGTTTTTTCATCAATTAAAATGAGAATAATCCATACAGGATGTGCAAACGTTTCAAAATCATGAGTTGAATAACGCTGACTGCGCCAGATTAAATATTAGAGCCTAACACAAAGCGGAGCGGCGACGCACTGGCGCCTACAAACCTAACAGGGATACTTCACGCATGCGCAATGCGTGAAGTATCCCTGTTAGGTTTGTAGGCGCCGATGCGCGCTTCGCGCTGGCTGCCCGCCTGCCGCGGCGCAGCGTGCCACGGCGCTTGAAGCAACTATTTCACACCAGAGGTATTGCACAGTATCATACGAAACTGAAGGCGCTCTAATATATTAAGAATGGCAGGCATCCATCAAAAGTACGGAGCTTTCCTCGCAGAATAAATCAAGATACGACGGCCCAAAAAGAGAGCGGTAGTTCAAAAACTCACTAAGTCCTAGCATCCGTAATTAGTAGCGTTTAGCATACACTTTATCGCCTGGCTTTTGCTTAGTCGCCATCGGCTATAAAAGGCTATAAGAAATTGTGTAGCCGGCTATGAAAGCTGTAGGAAATCTTACAGCCGGCTGTAGGTCTATGGTATTTTGGAACACAGATTCTACTGCCAATTTTTACCAGGGCCGTTCTGGCAGATATTCTCAGGTTATTATAATTATTAATTGAATAATTATAAAAATTTCAAATACGAAGTAGAACACTATTAAATTTCACCTGTAAAAGTATCTTCGACGAACACACACTTATCTCGATTCATAAACTTTGCTGAACCAATAGGCAATGTCTGAACTTGGAATTAATGCTTGACTTACCGCATGAGATCGTGGGTGTGGCGATAAGTCAAAACTGAATTCATCCTCTTTTTGCCCAGGAAATGCGAAAGTCTGTGTGCAAAAAAAGGAAAAACGTAGAAATCGGTACTTTCTTCGGCTTTGTCATCGTTCAGTGGGGAGTGAGCTGCAAGGAAAGTATCTTTTAAACAGATTATGTGATAAATCGTCCTCATAGGTATTCCTATCGATATTCGATAAAAAGGTAGAAAATATTGAAATTAAAGTCTCTGATTCCACTGCTGCCATGCCACGGGAGAGCGCCGTATGAACACGCGCACGTTGCAAAATTTCCCTTTTGAATCATACATTTTTGAGAAAAATAATGTATATTTCTTCTTGACATTTTCGGTTACTTCAGACCATATTAGGATGGACATTTTTTTAATAATCGAACGGAAAATATTCGCAAGTTATTTTGAGAATGAATGTCGTATTATCCAAGGAATTTTTGTAAAGCTCGCATGCGGCGCTTTTTCTTGACATGGCAGAGTGGGACATGGTTCATTTCTACGATAGTTATGTTTTCGGCGCAAAGAACACCCAAAACTCCTAGAAATTAACCCCTCTACTTAGCAACTCTCAGATTGAAGACGAAAAAACAGGAATCTTAAGAAAATCGCCCCCCACCAAAAAAAAAAAAAAAAAAAAAAAAAAAAAAAAAAAAAAAAAAAAAAAAAAATTATAAAGTTTGTCGCTGTTGCCAGTCCCAGTGCCTAACTATTTAATGCAAATGCTCACAAGAAGATTCATAATGAAAATGTAGCTTCAAACTTTGAGCCATTATCATACCTATAGGTATATGCTTTTGCAGAGAGTGTTAGAGTGTACGTAGCTTCGACATATTTTTTGACCTCAAACCGGTTAATTTCAATGTAGGTACTGAACAATTTAAGCTTCCCCCTGCTTGAGGTACATTTTTTCCCGCTGCTTGTGTTACAAATACTTGGAAATATGGTTATCTCTCTGTATGGACCCAAATTTTGTGGGCTGGGTTCGACCACGTGTTCGATCAATATGAACTCAAATTTGCCTAAAAATCAATAAATATTATTTTTAAATTCTGGTGGCTCACAAGTTGAGCTTAATTGTTTTACCTGTGTAGTAAGCTACATCAACCAGCTCGAATCTCAACGATGCAAATGACTAATCCAACATCAGTTAGGTAAGTATGGTGACTACGCATACTTGCAGCTGTCTACAAGAAAAGTTCGCTATCAAAAAAATTCGAACTTTCGACTTAGGTCCGTCATCGCTTTACGAGCTGGAAACATAAATCACTTGAACTGTTCTATTTGCGCTTACCTTAGGAATGAGATACATACAAAAGAAGAATCCCAACATTTTAAATGGAGTCGTGAATACCATACAACCAGAGTTGTTACTCATATTGAAGTCGAGTAACGAACTGGCAACATGGGTCAGAGCAGAGCACAGAGATCATTACTATCAGAACATCAGTGATGGTATGAACACGATATATGTACATACCTATAAAAAATTAAAACCGAGATAAAAATTATCTTCGTAGGATTATGAATGAAAAATAGAAACCTCGTCATTGTGATGATTTGATATCACCCAAATGAACAGGACGCTCCATTTCAAAAATTTAAAATCTGAACTAGTTACCTAAGTACCTAACTTTTTTCTAACTATGATTATTGAAATCATTTTCAGAGGGAGGTCAGGTCTACTATCCTTTATAATTTATATTTTGACATCTCCTCCCCCCCCCCTCTCCCAAAAATCTGAAGCAAAATATCGTTTTAAAGTATAGAGGGACACGACGCGTTTTCAGTCCCGAAAAATTCAAAGTGACAAGTTTTTTCTTGAGCACTGTGTGATGAATAATGATGATGAGGCTCCATGAAAATCATCAGATTGATTTCATAAAGCGAGAGAATGTAATTTTTTAATCAGAGTAACAGAATAATCGATACAGGGGGAAAATTCACCTACAGTTATTTTTCAATACTTTCTTGACATCGATGACCAAAGTGCGAAGGCATTTATGTCCATTGCGGCGTTTCAAAATTTCCCCTAATAATGTATTTTTTTGAAGATGGGAAAGCCAACTTAATCGATAGACATTTTCACTGAATATTTTACTAGTTGAGAGAAAAAAAATGAATTCAGTTTTCCAGACGTTACGTTGACCAGTTTTCAAAAGAAAAAATAAAGTATGACAGGACTTCTGCAACGTCGCAAGCGGAGACACGTGGTTACCCACTTCGACCATCGATATGGTACAATGTATTTCGATGAAAACTAACTTGTCATGTGCGTGCAACAAGTATTGACGCGCTGGACACCTAACAACGCCTTACCTACAGCATGCAACTATTTCTGTTTATAAGCAGGATAAATTGCATTCGCAAAAATCGAAGGCGCGCTGCTCCTCTGCTTTGCGTTAACTGAGAGGTGATGCGCCACCTACTGCATTGAGGACGGCATGTGCTTAAGTAGGTATACAGTTTTTCATGCTTTTTTGTGTTCGGTCATTACGTATATTTCTACTCAAAGTATTTTTTCACTATACTTTCCACCCCGCTTTTTTTACCAAGATTGCACTGGAAAATTGACGAAAAAAGTCACGAAGTCCTCTCGTTTTCTACAGTTAGCAACGATTCTTCCTATTCCATTGCATCTCATTTGCCCATTTGATCAACACTTAATAAAACCAATGATCCTCCATGTTTCTAAAATTGTATTCGCTATGCTCGCTGAGTCGATACCAATAATTAAATAAACTGATTCATTCGCGTATACCTAAATCTTTCAGAGACAGTTAAATAAAAATTAAAGTAAGTAAAAAGGACAGACTCAAGTTTAAAAATTTATCATTTACCAAAGAGGACTTCTTTCAGTTGCGATTTTGCTAGTTTGAGTGATGCAGCTGCCAGAGTTGCAAAATTTTATGAAACTTTGTGAAATGCAATTTCACAATGAAATTTTGAAAAAATTCATGGAATCTTTTAAAAACTTCTGCAGAGAATTCAGCGAGAGTTTAATTAATTGCATGGATAATGAAAAAATTCCATTCCGTAAAATTTCATGTTCCATTCGTGCGATCTCCTAGAGAAAATTGAAACAAACCAGCAGAATCAGTACCTCCCTTTCCCTCGCGCGCCTGCATGCATGAAGACCAATAAATACGGGCACAGCTGTAGCGTGAAAATGGTCAAATGGGGCACGTCACAGGCTGAAAGTTGAAGCAGTTAAACTTGTCACAAGACAAACGAGCCATTTGTAACTCACGTCGCGTCCAGCGACCCCGCGCAGAATTCAGTGAGTGCGCTCTCGCAAAGCTTCGTTTTCGAAGCGATCCCGCTTGAACTTTCGATGCTTCGTTGTCGATGAGATTGGTAAGCTTCAAAAGCTCATCGTCAATCAAAATGGCCTCAGCCGTCTCAACTCCCAGTTGCCAAAAGCTCAGCTGTCTAATGGTCAACGCTCATTGGTCGATGGAATGCGCAGCCGCGAAACGCAGTGACGGCAACATTTTAAAGCAGTCAGCAGATTCTATAATTCGTGAATCATTCCGAATCTGGTTTACTATTGTAATCATAATACACAAAAAATTGACTAATCTATTATTAGAAGGTATTTCTGAAGCAGATCGTAAGGTTTTTTCTTCTTTTGAAACTATGAGAGCTGAAATGATTACTAGGTCAACGTGTGTAATTTGTGTGTAGAGTTGGCGTTCTGAATGTTGCTGTTCGATCATGGCGGAGCTGTCAGCACTCTATGGTCAGTGATAACTCGATCGGGCTACCAATTCGTCCATTCGTCCATCCATAACATCTACTCAGCTATGAGGAAGTGTATCACAACCCCACATCCACTTATTACTGTAGAATTTGTTTACCCTAATGAGTTTCATGGAAAGCCAAGTGTTCCCCAAGTGCGAGTGTGTCCGGCCGAAGAATTTCCCAGAGGAATAACTCGCGTTTGTATCCGTACCACACCCCGTCGGAATTTATTTTATTAGTGAAATAAACATCTTTCATGGGACAGGGTCGATATTGGCCCGGAGTTCGGGATAGGCAAACTGGAACTAATGGAACTGGAGAATATAGTCGCCAACACAGTTTATCTCAAGGCCCGAGAAGGTTAGTGAAGTTTGTTGACAATTTAGCCTCTTTCAGCTCAGATTTTGAGTTTTATGCAAGCTGGATCCTCTTAATTGTGGGAACCTTGAGCCCTCTTCCTGTGTTGAACACACATTTCATTGTTTTGCCCTTGAGTGGGAATCTTTATTTTCTCTGCTCTCTACTATTTTTCCTGTGCCTTTGCGTCGGAACACCCTAATAACTGCGCAATGATAGTTTTCCTCTCATTACCCTGCTGCCGATGTGCTTTCATATGTTAGTGATACGTATACAGCGCATATTTCGCTCAGGGCTAGTTGCGCCAGGCAATCAAAACTTGTTTCGCTCTTTAATAATTTAAATTAGGCAATGCATGCCTTCTAACCCAGGAAAGAGTTACTTTTATTTAAGTAGGTCTTATTGCACATTGGCATGGAGTTACCCAGACAACTGTCTGCTGTATACTTCAAGTCAACACTAATTATCGGCAAAGTGCTCAGTTTAAAACGAAATATTAAATATTTACTTTATATATAGGTTGCTTGCAAACTTTCTAATGTCAGACCACCGTAATTTGAACACTTAAGTACAGACGTCTATAATTTGCCATTTTCATAATCAATAAATTCTTCATGCACCTATTAGTGTGAGGTTAATACATAACCTATATTAAATTCAACACTGACAGGGGCTTACTAATTGTCGATGATGTCACCATTCTTTCCATTTTTGCAAATTTATTGAAACTTCTCACGTGAATTTAATTTTCCCCGATAGGTATCTAAAATTGACTTTTTTTTATTGATGAGCCATTCATAATGGAAAATACACCCTGTTGACAAGCATCCTAAGGCCATTACGTCTTCCTCTCAAAATAACGTACTTAAAAGATCATCACTGTGGCAGTGTATTTATGGGCGCTTTGATTTTGTCGAATCAGTTCATTCATCACAATTTTGCTACACTTTTCTATTTACGAGGAAGGCATTTTGAAAGATAAATACTCACCTTTCTTTGGTGCTCAAGCAATTCCTACGTAGCAATCCTGGCCATCAAAGAAATTGTGAGAGAGTACGTTAGTAATTACTGCAGAGAACAAAGGGAAGCTGCCGGACTTTGTTTGGCAGGTTGCATCCGTTTTTACCCTTACCTGCCCTTATTTCATGTATTCACAAACATTTAATCATTTTTTCCTTAATTTAAAATATGATTCTGCTGAAATATTTGTTTCTTTTCATGAAACTTGCCACATTATTCAACTGAAAACTCCACTCCCGGAATAAATTCACTTTATCAAGTAAAAAAAATCAACTTTTTGATGTCCTCCATGTACGATCCCGTATGTTCTCTGCACTTACGACCAGTTAACCTCAAACCTATGACCAGGAATGCTAAGTAGGAATTGGCTCTAGCTATTGCGCCATTTTCAAGTTCAAAGGAAAGCCTCAAAGTTGCGGCATCATTGTAGGGGTTGACTTCCAACCTTCATAAGTCAATGCGCTCCTGAATTTTGATTAAAACATGTTGTTAATACAATATTTTAGGACATGCACCGTTTTTTAAATATTGACCTAAGTAGTGGTATGTTGATCTTTTACTATATAAATGTACGCATTACTTCGTATTATTCTTGTCCTACTGAATACTGCCACAACTGTGTGTAACATTGCTGGAAGAGCTTATTAGCCCTGCTTTCCTCAAAACTAATACATCTAAAGTTCGAATTTTAGGAGTCGTGAAAAACATCATAAGTACTTAGGTATGGAAGTACTTATAACAAAAATTTGCCAACGCCCAAGTCCTCGGTATTTTTGTGAAGGGTCTTCTAACCTTAATTTGCCACTTAGTGAGCAGTTTTGTAGAGAAATTCAAAGACTGTTTAATACACCTAGTCCATGTTTTGCAGTGAATCTTTAATAGATTTCATAATCTTCATTCAGGCTAAAAGCAAGCTTTGTGAAATGTTAACAAGTCAGCTTGTGTTTGAAAAATTTTCTGCACCAGGTACCAGGTAGAGAAAATATCATCAGTCATCGATCAGAAATGACTGCGACTTTTTTGTTATGTGATGGAGAAAGTTAAAAATATGCATCCTGTGTGTGCATCTTAGTTTAGGATGTGGCAAATTCCTTTTGGAATATTAATTTTTCAGAGGAAACCAATGAAAATTGATGTTTAGATTTTTAACCTAATTATTCTCTATCCTGCATAGGTAACTGTATTATAAATATTCCGTGGAAATTCCTGATGATGACACTCATTCGATTTTCTTTAAAATAAAATGAGACAGCATTAATGCATACCAGGTACTTATGAGTATTTATTGTGGTTTTGACTTCTTCGGGAGGGTGCTCAGTTTATTTTCCGGAGGAAATACACCATTTTTGAGGGTCAACATGTTCAAAAAACCTTTAATACTATACAGTGATACCAATAAGTAACTCAGTTCTGAGTTTTATTGGCACTATGAGGTCCTGTTTGCCATGCACGGGCATTTTGGATCCTTTTATTTTGTAGGAGTGATACTTTTATCATTACAATGGAATTCACCAGAATTTTATAAGTGAGAACCAGAGAAAAAGACAACGAGAAAAAAATTAAATTTGGGTGCCCATCCGATAAAACAGGATTTCGCCAGGGAGAGTTAGCCGCGCTGGTCCCAATTTTCAGGGTGATCACTATCCGTAAAAACCGGAAAATATCACGGAATTCGATGTTATCAGGAAAATCGGCAATGGATCAATAAATTCTGAGTGCTTCAAGCATTTTTCAAACATTTTATTCAATTCATTATAATTGTTAATATTTTAAATCGAACGAGCGTCAATTTACTAGCGCGAAAAATCAGGAAATTGCGTCAAAAATATCAGGAAAAATCAGGACAGGTAATATCAGGAAAATCCCAAATTAAATTTTAGTAGACACCCTGTTGAATTTTTGTTTCGTCGGAAACCGTCGGTCCCCCCC